CCGCCGGCGCTTCCGCCACGTCCTTTACCTCCGCCTCCGCCTCCGCTGCCGCTGCCGCTGGTGGCCTAAGCGGAGCCGCCCTGGCTAGGCAGCTTATGGGCCCTACGTCTGCGCTTACGCCTGCGGCTGCGGCTGCAGCTGCGGCTCCTCGGCCTAAACCGGTTGTGGCGGCGCTGATGGCGACCGTGGCGAGTGTCGCCACGAGGCCAACGACACGCTGCGGAGGTGACGTTGTCATCGGCGGCTGCGTTGGCTGCTGTCAGGAGGGTGCGTTCGGAGACGTCGTCGGCTGCTTCGGCTCGCCCGTCACCTCCCCGCATGAGCTCGGTACGGCAGGGAACACGGCAGTGGACCCTGAGGCAGCTTCCATGTTGCATGCCGTACGGCAGCCAGACACGACGCCGCCGGCCGGGGCTGCTGCTGGCACGGCAGATGCAGCGGTGGCGGCGACGGCAGTAGTGACGGCGGACCCTGCGTCGGCGGCTGAGACCGCTTCTGAGACGTTGCGGGGAGGAGCGGTAGTGGAGACGATGGATGTGGAGCAGGTGGAGGGTGTGCTGGCAAGGACTGGGGGCGCAGGAGGTGACGACGTGGCAGCCTCGGTTGAAGAACAGCAGCAGCAACCCGACAAGGAGCAGCAGCAGCAGCAGCAGGAGCAGCAAGTGCTGCCGGCACCGGACTGCCGCATGCATGATGAATGCAACCGGGCAGTGGCAAAGGAGGTCGGCTTTGAAGCTGCAGGAGTTGTAGCACCTGCCGCTATGGACGGTCGCTCCTCATCAGCGAGTCCTGTTGCTGCTGCTGCCAAAATGGTAGCTGCTGCAGCTGCTACTGCTGTGGCTGCCCCGCATGGCGGCGATGTGGCTGGTGTGGTCATGGCTTCTGCAACGGCCTCATCCACGACGATGACTCAGGCAGCGGTGGCGGCAGCTGCTAACACAGAGCCGCCGGTAGCTCCCAGTGAGCCACATGGCGGTGCCCTCGCTGCTCCTCTTTCCGCCACCCTGCCAGCATCCGCGGAGGTCCCGGTTGGCCTCGTACTCGCTAGCGCCGCCTCGGTAACGTCGCCGACGTCGCCTCCACCTCCGCCGCCTCGAGAGGTATCATCTCCTCCACCCGCCGGCAGCCCTGCTGGCGCCGAAGGCGGCTCACCGGGCACCCCTCCCTTCTCCCTGGCGGAGGTCTCCCTGCATGCGCAGCATGCGTTGAACGGCTCGCTTGGCGGTTTGTCACCGCCGTCGCCGGGCAACAGCGACCGTCGGGGCGTCGTCGCCGGCTCTGGCTTTGAGGAGGAAGGAGACGCCACGGGCCTAAGCAGCGGCAGCGGAGGTGCTGAAGGTTTGAGGACGGTCATCGGCTGCGGCGCCGAGGACATGGACTTTGCGAGTTGCGGAGTGCAAGGCCCCAGGTCGCCTGTGGGATCCAAGGTCAGTCCAAGTGCGGCAGCGCTGCGTCTGACAGCTGACACGCCGTACCCCGTGAGGGCGTTCAAGCCCCGGCGGCGGCGAGTTGGATCGCCGCGGGAGAAGTCGTCGGCTGACGTTGACGGTGCTGTTGACGGCGGCGGCGGCGGCAGGGGCCCATCGGGTAGCCTCTTCGCTGCTGCGTCGCTGGTCGCTGGCGCGTCGCCGCCACCCGCGGCATCGCCGGGAGCAGCAGCGGCGGCGGCGGCGGCGCTGGGCTCGCCGGTCGGGCCCGGCAGCGCTGGGCGCCCAACCAAGCGGCGTATCGTCATGCTGGCGCCGGAGGGCAACGCCGCCGCAATGGCACGAAGCAGCGGAAGCGACGGCGCAACCGTCGCGGCGTCGGCGGCGGAGGAACTTGGGCCCAGCGGCAGCGGCGGTTACATGCGTTGTGTTGGTCAGCTAGACGCAGCGGAGGCGGAGGCGCTGGAGGCACTTGCCGCTGACATGATGGCTGCGGGCGTTTTCGCCGCCGCTGCCGACGGCGCCAGGCCGCCACGCCCGCCGCAGCAGCCCGCAGCGTCCGACGGGGCCGTCGAAGGCGAGGAAGGTGGTTCCGTCCCGCAAGGTTCGTCGCCGCTGCCTCCGCCGCCGTCGACGTCGACGTCACAGGCAACCTGCTCCACAGCTCCAACAGCGGCGGCGGCGGCGGTTGCGGCCTCCCCGGCGGTTACCGCAGCGGCTAGCGCCAGCGGCGGCGTCAGCCCCGCCAGCGCCACCGGTGGATTCCTAAGTCGTAGTCTTCGCAGCCAGGAGGTGAACAGTGTGGCTTCGCCGCAATCCCTGCGCCGCTTTGAGGAGTGGTGTCTGCATCCGCTGCTGCCGAGGGTGGTGGGAGTGCTCCTGGAGGACAGTCCGCCGTCAGCGCAACGGTCGCCGCTGCCGCGTTCGCCCCTCCCGCCTAAGCCAACAACAAGTACGAAGGCGACGGAAGCCGCGGCGGCGGCGGCGCGGTTGCCGGCGGAGGCCGCTAGCGTGGGCGGATGGGCGCGATCTGCGTTGTTGTCTGCGTTTGACAACGTCGCAAGGAATGAGAACATGGACGCTCCGGGTGCGGAGGCCGCAGCGGTCGCTGCGGCGGGTACGACAGCGCCTCCGCCGCCGACAGTATCGGGTGATGAGCTGCCAGCGACCGCGGCGCCTGGTTCCGCTGAACCCCCGGCGGAGGCTGGGGTAGCGGGCGAGGAGTCCCCAGCAGCGCCGAATGCTCCATGCGGCATGAAGGTGGGGTCGGCTGCGGAAGGCAGCGGTACGGAGGAGGTGCCGGCGGAGGCAAAGGCGGAGGGAACCGAGACTCCTGAAGACGACGTCGGCATCGCCCAAGCCACCGTCGGAGGCGTGAAGGAGGGCAGCGAGGCAAGCACTGAAGCCAAGGGATGCGAAGACGCGTCCGGGAGCCAAGGCAGCCTCGACAGCACGAACATCGGCGACCCCCCGGTTGCTTGCGTGGCCGGTGCTTGCACCCCGACGGCAACGGCGGGTGGCAACGACAGCGGCAGTGGTGGCTCGCAACACCAGCAACGGCGCCCATTAACGAGCCCAGACGCGACCATGCGGATAGCCACACCGCCAGCACAAACACCGCAAAGTGACGGGGCACGTGTGACAAGCCGCGGCGGCGCTGCTGAGGCGCGCACGCCTGTTGCGACCGGTGTCATTGGTGTCGTACCGCCGCCGCAGCAACAGCAACAGCAGCCGCAGGTTACGCCGGTGCTTGCCATATGGCATGGCAGCGGCGGCAGGAACCCCTTGCACGGCAGTACGAATCTGTACGGCAGTCCTGCGACGGGATCTGCAAAGCGTGGCCGGCTGGTCTCCATCGGTGCCGCCGCTGCGGCGTCGGGCGCACTCTCTCCTGCCGGCGGAAGCAGCGGCGTGTTTGGAAAGGGCGTCGACGGCGGCGTCAGCGGTAGCCTGGCGGCTGCGGTGCGCAAGATCGTCAGTCGCGCCCCAGTACGGCAGGAGGTTGATCCGTACGACGCAGTTATGGACGACGACGACGAGGAAGTAGGCGATAGCGAGGGTGCTGCCGTACCAACGGCTTCAACCGGTTCCGGACGGTCGAGTGGCGCCGAGGAGACGACGTCCGAGGCACGCCGGCGGCGAAGGGAGGCCTCTCGGCAACGCTACGGGACGTCAGGCGCCCGCGGCCACAGCCCGGAGAGGGACGTCGACGCCCCGCCGCGGCGGCAGGCTAAGCGCGTTAATACGGGCAAGAAGATGTGCTTGGACCTGTTTGGAGAGGAGGTCGTACTTCCCCCGGGTGCCCGTACGGATAGCTCTCCCTCCGACTCACCCAACTCAACGCCGCCGTCGTCAGGTCCTCCCACCCCAACCGACGCCGGTGCTGCTGCCGCCGCCGCCGGAGCGGTACCTCCGCCGGCTGCAGTTGTGAAAGCTTCTGCGGCGAAGGGCCTTTTCAAGTCCGTAGCGAGCCCTGCAGCGGAGGCAGTAGTGGCGCCGTCCGGTAAGGCCGCCATCGGCGGCGGCGTCAGCCCCGGAGCCCCATGCCGTACCGCGGTCGCAGCGCCGCCGCCGCCGCTAGCTGCCGTACAGTCCTCGCCGCCAGATCTCGCACTAGGGCTGGTGGGCTCCCAGGAAACAGCTCTCGGCTGGTCAGCAGGTGCAGCGGCCAAGGACGTTTCGGCATCATTGCTAGCTGCAACTGCGAAGGTGGCGACGAGGGTAAAGTCTGCAGCAGTCAACGCCGCAGCCGCCGGCAACAGCGGTGGTGGCGGCTGCGCAAGCCCTGTCAGCTGCAGCGCGTACCTAGACGAGCCCCTGCGCTCGCTGTTTAAGACCATCACAGTCGACATGGAGGCTGACGAGTACGACAACAGCGGCCGCATGCCGTACAACACCAGGGATGCGATGAGCGCTGCCGCAGCTGCTGCTGCTGCCGCCGCCGTTACTTCCGGCCACCGCCGGCAAGCTCATCCTGAATCGTCGCCGCTGTCCCGACGCATTGGCAGTGGCAGCGGCGGCGCTGGTGTGGTGCGAGGAGGGCCGAGTGCGGCTGATGCGGCGGCAGTGGCGCTGCTTGCGGCATGCGGCGGTGTCAGCGAGGGCGGCACGGAGGGTGACCTGGGGGTGGCGATGCAGGGAGTGTCGGCGCTGGTGGATTTGCTGGCAGCCGAATGAGGCGTGAGCTTTAGTGAGGGGATCCGGGGCATGGCAGATGGGGGGTTTTGGAGGGTGTCACAGTGGTGTTGCGCAGCGCGGTTGATAAGGTTTCGGTGGGCAGAGATCCAATAATTCATTGTGCGCGGTCACCACCGCTTGATTAGGGATGCCGGCATGGATGGTAAAGGATCTAGGAGAGAGAGAGAGAAAGAAATCGAAACACGGGTGGCAACTCAGGGTGTGAATAGTTCGGTTGACAGGCGTCTCTTATGCAGGAGTTCGCGCAGGAGTTGACGACAGGCGCAACAAGGGCCCGGCCAAATGCTTCTGCCCAAGTGCAGGCCCCTTGCCGCTGGAAGGCGGCAAACAAAGCAGAGGTTGTGTTCTTGTACATTTGTACCACCAAACAGAGCATGTATGTACCATATTACAAACGTTGTCGGTTCATGTAACATGCCTACATGCGGGCATGCTTTCACGGTAACGGTAAGCACCTCTCGCCACGATGGGGGTGGGGGCCCGCCCTGGCCAACGCACTTTAGCACTGCTCTACAGGGTAGCCCCACAAGTCTACAGGGTAGCTCGACAAGCTGCCCTCCAACCTCCCGTTTGAAAACTAGGGACACGCGCCCCGGAAAACCTGGCCAGCTTAAGTACAGCCTGCAGCGCAGAAGACACCTGCAAAAGAACCAACCACCTGCATATCAATGGATAACACCTGCGCAAGGTGGGAAGCGATAACGCTACTCCTACACTACAATACTGCTCGACTGTTGGCGCTCTGCACCCTACTAACTCATTCCTCCTAAAGACCGTCCTCGACATCTGGACCGCCGCTGGAAGCTCTACAATCCTGGACTATCTCTGTAGTACGGAAACCACGCGCACACTAGGCTTTCCTATCGTACGCTGCCGTACTTGTAGTAGACTCTACAACCTCGGTCACCAACCCGTCCGTACCTTCCCTCACCTGCAGTGATCAATCTACACCATTCGTCCACCTTCCACACACAAAGGCACCACCATCTCAGTACACAACGACCCACACAACACCCCAACCAACAAGCCCCTCTCACCGCTTCGCAGCCACCCCCAGCTTCCTCGCCCACGACTGCGCCTTGGTGCCCTGATACCCGCCCTTTCCCCTGCCACCCCCGCCGCCTCCTCCCCCGCCCCGTCCTCCTCCCGACGCAAACTCCATGTAGCGGTACCCCGTCGCGCCCGTCAGCGCCGCCATGTCGCCCACGCGCCGCCGCGCCGCCGGCCGGCCGCCCGCTGCCGCCGCCAGCCCCTCCGCGTCCTCGTCTCGCAGCGTCTCCACGCCCGCCTCCTCCATGCCGGCGGACAGCACGCGGGAGAGGAGGTCCAGCTGGGAGGGGCGGTCGGAGTAGAGCAGCCCTGGGGTGTCGCCTGCGGCCTCCAGCAGGTTGGTGACCACCTGGCGTGGGGGGGGGGGGGGTAATCAAAAAAGGGGGGCAGGAACCGTAGGTGGGTCAAAGACCATACCGAACCATAGGAAACCACAGGCTGGGGCAAGACAGTGGGGTGGGTGGGTAACAAACACGGGGCAGGAACCAGAGGGGGGGGTCAAAGACCATACCGAGCCATAGGAAACCACAGGCTGGGGCAAGACAATGGGGGGGGTAACAAACACGGGGCAGGAACCATGGGGGGAGCGTGGGACGTGTGGATGATGTGTTTGGCGCGTGTATAAGATGCGCACTGGTAGGTGGAGGGGAGGAAGACATGTCACACGTAGTATTGTTAGGGGGGAGAGAAGAAAAGGTTTGGAGGACGGGGGAAGTACGGTGCAGAGGAGCACGCGTGATAGGCTGATTGCTAGTGAGGCTGTAGCCACTGTGCCTCGACGCGATCGTGGTTGCCAAGGGGTTCTTTGCCAGTATTTCCGTGTTCCCTCTTGTTCACACACCCGCACGCACGCACGCATGCACGCACGCATGCACACACGCACGCTCGTCCGCACCTTGAAGGAGTAGCCCTGGTCGATCAGGAACTGCTGCCGCTTGGTGGAGTAGTACATCTCCTGCGTGTCGTTGGATACAAGCGTGTAGAAGAACGCGTTGAACTGCGGGGAGAGGAGGGGAAAGGGGGAAAGGGGAGGGAAGCAGGCGGGCAGGGGGGCAGGGAGAGGAGGGTGAAGGAGAGGAAGGAGAAGGAGAAGAGGAGGAGGAGGAAAAGGATAGGAAGGGAGTGGAGGGGTTTCTTAGTAATGCAACGGTTCGGCGCCCTCGACGCTTCTTCAATCTCAGATCACGCCTAAAGGCTTGCGCCCATGTGGCCCCAGCGCCGACCCACGGGTCACATGAAGACCAGCAGCAGCGACTGCTGCTGCTGCTGTTCTCCCAGCTCCCCAGCTCACCTCGCCCTCGTGTCCGCTGCCCGCCTTGCCCCGCTTGGCTCGCAGGATGCGGCCCAGGCGCTGCGCCTCCTGCCGCCGGCTTCCCGCGTGGGAGCTGATTTGGATGAGCACGTTGGCCTCGGGGATGTCCAGCGAGTTGTCGCCCACCTGCGGGTAACGAGAACGAGCACGGAAGGTGTCGGTTGGACGGCTGGTTTGATGGTTGGTTGGGTTGGTTTGACGGTTGGCTGGGCTGGTTGAATGGTTGATTGGGTTAGTTCTACATTTCTCCACACCCGCCAATTCACAGCTCATGCGGGTCATGCGGTTCATGCCGCCTTGCAGTCATGCGGTTCATGCCCTGCCCGGGCACGGGCACGGGCACGGCCCGGCCCGCTCCCTCCTCGCCTTTGACAGGAAGACGGTGTTGATGTCTGGGTGGTGTTTGAAGGCGTGCAGTACGCGGGTGCGCTCGGCGTGCGAGGTGGGGCCGTAGATGAAGGGCTTGCGCAGGCGGGTGGCGTACTCGCGTAGCGCCCAGATATTGTCGGAAAACACGATGATCTGTGATATGGGTGTGGGGCGGGAAGAGATACCGGTGCTTGTTACAAAATATGTTTCACAGGTGCCGTACAGTGGATGGCAAGGCAAGAAAGGCAAGTAGGAGGTTAAGAGGGTACGAGGAGACGGCCAAGCGAGCTTGCAGTGCCAAGGCTGCAGCCCTAAGGAGAGACATGGACGCGGAAAGAAGCGGGCGGGCTGCAAGTGCAAGATATGTAGCACAACCGGAGGTCGCTATTCCGGGGCGGGGCAGATTATGGCGCGGCAGGCGCGGGTCGCAGGGGCGCAGTTGCCTCCTCAGCCCTCACCTTGTCTCCTCGCACCCGCTCGTGGAAGTCGATCAGGAACTGGCAGGCCATGAACTTGTTGGGGTTCATGACGTACAGCAGCTGCCGCCGGGGCGCGTTCTCCTTCTTCAGGTACTCCCTGCACCAGGTGACCCGCGGGTCGGGGGTCAGGGGGTCAGGGGTAAGGACGGTGCAGCAAAGGCGGAACAGCATGCAAGACACGAGCCGCATATGACATGGGTGACGGCAGGGGCGACGGCAGGGGTGACGGCTGCCCGAGAAGAGGTCAGCAGCTTACAGGGTACGGGATACATGGGCTCTGGGGCACATGCCAGCCCACTAGCCCAGACCTTCCTTTCACCAACACCCCACATCATGGAAACTGCTAGGAGCCCGTCTATATGGCTCTCCCTACCTCCCAGCAGCCCCCCCTCCCCGTGTTTGCACCCCATGGTGAAGCCTTGTCATACAGCTCGTCAGTTGCTTCGTCAGTGTCTCAATATATATATTTTTTTACCCTCCCTGGCCCAGCCCACACAACTCCGCACGACCCATCCCCGCTTTATCCCCCCCACCCGTTCCACCAATATTTTGCCCTAATTCGAGGTTGCCTATGGTTCCATCTATTTTGACCCCGCTTCCCCCCCCCCCACACACACACATATGTTCCTCGGCTCCTACAATGTTCCTCGGCTCCTGCGGCGGTTCTGTGGGGACTTCATCTTCCGACAATCACAGTATGTTCCTACTCGCGGCCAGTTTTCTTAACACACATATGTAGGACATACAGCTCGTCATACAGCTCGTCAGTTTCCTCCCCCCCACTCCCCACTGTGTTGTTGCACATATTTATAATTCCCCCTCCCCCACCTGTAGAACTCCGCCGTCATGGGGCACCACACCTCGGCGCACTGCACGTTGGCGATGTGCCCCGCGCGCGTCAGGTCCAGCCAGTTGGCCTCGTACAGCTTGGGGCCTGAGCGGGGGGCCAGGGGGGAGAAGAATACCCATGCATTGAAGGAGGATGGCAAACAAGACGACAAGCTCGGGGAAGGGAGGTCATGGAGCGGGGATGGAGACGTGACGTGTGCGGGTGCGGGTACCGGCACCTAGAAGAACGACGCGCAACCCTAAAAGCCCTAAACGCCCTGACCCAATGCCGGCGCCTCAGGCTGCGCCTTGAGGTGCTGGAGCGCCCCTTCACTTCCACTCTCCCTGAAGGAGGGGCCGCACGAGGCGCCTAACAACACCCAACACAGGCCCTCCTGCCTCCTCCTGCAGCTGCTCCCTGCACCGACCCCCTACCAATGAGGAAGTTGAGGTCGGCGATGCGCTCGTCCTCGCGCACCAGAGTGGCGGTCAGGCCCAGCTTGCAGTGCGACTTGCAGGTGGAGATGACCTGGGGGGAGAGGGGGAGAAAGAGAGGGGGAGAAGTGGGGCGACAGGGGTCAAAATATACCAAACCCAGCCACGAAAATAGGGCAAAACCAATGGGGAATGAGGCGTGTTCGGTCTCCCCTCCCCCCTCCCCCCTCCCCTCCCCCCTCCCACCGTCCTGAACATCTGCGCCGGCACCACGTGCACCTCGTCCATCAGCAGCAGCCCCCACTCGCGGCCGCGGATGAGGCTCATGATGCGCTCGCTCTCCTCGGAGCGCTTGCCGCTGAAGGCGATCATGGTGAAGGTGGTCACCAGCACACCCACCTCGCCTGGGGGGAGGGGATGCGGAGGGGGAGGGGGAGGGATACAGCTTCCGCTTCAGGCTGGCTTGTAGGATTGCGTATCGGATGCGGGGGAGCTGGGGTTTTAGTAGGAGGTGGATAACCCGCACAACGCGGGGATCTTGGAGCAGGGGATCAATGGCAAGGGAGGAGGAGGAGTGATGGGGCTAGGAGAGGAGCATGGGAGGGGAGGAGGGGGAGTAGGAACATGGGACGAGGAAGAGGAGGAAGAGCAGCGGGGCCCAGGATTACCTCACCATGTCAACCGTTACCCTCCCATCTCCCATTCCCCCTACCCTCTTCCCCCCCGCTCCCTCCCTCCCCCGCACCCCACCCGGGAACATCTCCTTGTTCTCGCTGGTGAACCTCGCGATCTGGTGGTCCCCGATGCTGGTCCACAGCTGGAACTGGTACCTCCACTGGTCCACACTCACGCTGCTGGTGCACAGACACAGACACGACTTCTTGACGCGGCTGGCGGCGGCCACACCCACCAGCGACTTGCCGGCACCGCAGGGCAGCACGATGATGCCGCTCCTGTTGAGGGGAGGTAAAGGGGGGCGGGGGGAAGATTAATGATAAGTGCAGCAACGGAGACAAGGGGGGGGGCAAAATAGACCAAAGCATAGGAAACCGCGAATTAGGGCAGGATTAGGATTGCCCACCGCAACCCCACCACACCCCGCAGCCCCACCACGCACCTCGCTCTTCCGTTGCCGAACATCTTACTCAGCGACTTCTCCTGGTACGGCCGCAGCTTGACGTGCGGCTTGAGCTCGAAGGGCAGGTCGGGGTTGCGGCGGTCGTTGCGGAAGTCGTACTCCTCCAGCATGGGGTAGTTGAGGCCCTCGGGCATGCAGCGCCGCTTCACCTCCTCGACCTGAGGAAGGGGGGAGAAATTCCAATGTGTGGTGTGATAGTGGTAAACAAGCTGACGAGCCCTGATGGAAAATCCGTGAGTCGAGCCGAAGGGGGGGGAGGGGGAGGGGGGGTAAAGAGGAGGAAACAATGGCCTAACCGTGTAATAAAGGGGGGAAGGTACTGGTAAAAGGGAGGCAACTGATGAGCTGTATGATGAGGCTTTTATGGGTGGTGGTAAGGAGGTGGTGGTGGTAACTAAGGACGTGTTGTGGGCGAAACTGCGAGCGCCTAACCAGGCAACTGCCGCCGTCAGTTTCACAGCTGCTGGGTTACCGCGCACCTTGTCCTCCTTGACCTCAAACTCCTGCACCTCCTGCTCCGTCTCCTCCGCGGATATGTCCTTGAAGGCCTTGCCGTACGCCCCCACCCCGTCATCCTCCTCCTCCTCCCCTCCCCCCTCCTGCTCGTCCCCCCCACCAGCTCCCCCCACTCCGTTGTTGCCCCCCTTCCAGCCCTTGCCACCGGCGCCGACGTCCGCCGTCTCCTTGCCACCGCCCCAGCCGGCACCTCCGCCACCGCCCTTTCCACCACCGCCAACTCCCTTTCCGCCGCCGCCGTCAGCAGCTGTAGCGGCAGTTGTCGGTTCCTCCGCCAGGTCTACTGCGGTGGTGATGTTGGCCGCCGCATGCTCACGTAGGGCCCGACTGCGCTGGATGATGCCGCCACCCACTGCCGCCTCTTGGATGACCTTGTCCTGGGGGGTGGGTTGTGCGAGGATGGGGAGGGAATGTGTGTAGGAGGGAGCGTGTGTGGGGGGGGGTGGAATGTCTTGAGCGAAGCGTCCAGGGTAGGAGTGACCCCGTCGACTAGCCCATGCTCTATTCAGTCACCCCTTTTGCTCCAGTCACCCCCTGGTGTGTTGCCACTGCCAATCGACGCATTGAGCGTCCTCCCTCCCTCCCTCTTTCACCCACCCGCCCACCCACCCTCAGCAGCCGCTTGAGCACCTCCGGGTAGCCCGACTCCACGTAGAAGCGGTTATGCTTCAGCACCAGCTTCACCTGGGGGGCCGGGGGAGGAAGAGGGGGAGGTAAAAGAAGGAACAACTAACGAACCGTGTAAAGGTGTAATAAGTGCGGGCGGGCAGCTCCCGATGTGAGGAGAGGTGCGAGCGCCCTCTTTCCTCCCGCTTTCCGTCCTTCGCTCCCCCCCTCCTTGCTCCCTCCCCTCCTCCTTCCCTCTCCCCCCCCCCCGCAGCCCGCACCTTGCCGTAGTTGGCGGTGCTGTCGCGGATGAAGGCCTTGGTCTCCTCGCTCAGCTGCACCTTGGACAGCCTGCGCGGGAGGGGGGGGGAGCGGAGGGGAGGGGAGGGGAAAGAATGCTGTAAGGAGGGAGCACCTTGGGAACAAAGCGCGATACGGGAACCGCCCACCAAGCCGTTACAAACCCAACCGGCTCCTTTCTCCGGGACGTCCACTGCACTGAGCCCTTCAGACACGCCAGTTTATACGGCAGGTACCTCCCCCCCAACACACACACATCGTAGTTGTTCTACTCAACTACACACACATCGTGTGTGTGGCGGTTCTGTGGGGACTTCATTTTCCGGCAATCACAGTACGTTCCGCCTCGCGGCCAGTTTCCTTAACACACACTCACACACCTGTTGAGCACGCTGATGATGGTCTCCGTCTCCAGCCCCACCGACACCGCCGCGTACAGGCTGTGCGGCGTCAGCTGGTACTCGTGCATGGCCTGTGAGGGGAGGAGGAGGGTTGGGGGTGGAGGGGGGATGGGGGAAAGTGGAACAAGAGGATGTGACAATGCTGCTATCAGGTGGGTGAGCTGAGAGTTCGGAGGCTGCTGGAGCGCGGAACATGCACCCTCTCCGCCCGTGCCCGACCTCCCCCGCCCCTGCGCCCCTCTGCCCCCCCCTGCCGTTTCCTACCCCCATTGCCCTGCCCTAACTCGCAGTTTCCTAGGGTTTGGTGCTGCCCTTTACCCCGGGCCCCCCCCCCAAACGCACCTCCGGGCGACACACGGGCTCAGAGATGGCGATGAGGAAGTCGTACGCCTGCGGAGTGAAATGGGGCCAGGAAGAGTACGACATTTGTTTTAAACTCGAACAGGAGGAGTACGGGATATGTAGATATGTTACAAACTGCGATCATACCAGCTCCTCCTCCCTCCAGCTCCCCACCACGTTTCGACTCGCGGCCTGTTTATTTATTGCCACACACCTGCCCATGCGATACCCATACCCGCTTGGTTGGTTTCTCTTTTGACCCTTACACACGCCTGGCTGTGTATGACATCTTATTAAATAAGCAGATAACCCGTACGACGATTGTACGAATTACATTAACCCACACACCTGCTTGTAGATGGGCGAGAAGGTCTCCAGGAAGATGCGGTTGTCCGGAGTCACCCACAGCGGCCGGTTACTGTGGTCGGGCTTGAGCTGCAGCGCGGAGAAATCCGTGTCGTACGGCACTCCATCTGGGTCGCCGCCTAGCGCCCGCTCGCGCATGGCCCTGCGGGTGCGGTGGATGGTGAGTTGTAATAAAATTGAAATACTGGGTGTGGTGGGTGAGTTATACGGTTGTAGGAGTGTTGTAATTTTCTGAAACACTGGGTGTGGTGGGTGGATCAGAGGATGATAATACGGATGGCACGAAAGCATGGACGCCAATGCCCGTGAGCCTTGCCGTACTAGCGTGTGAGGGCTGTTACGTGTTACGCTGGTGAGCGCTACCGAAACACACGTGAGGGCAAGACAAAGGTGGGGTTGAGGGTGTTGGGGTTTGGGAGGTGTACGACAACAGCGGGAGGTACACACGTCACAGCGGCGCACATCACAGGGCCGGTAACCGGGCCGCTGAAACATGTGGCGGTTGTGTTGCCTGGCAGAGGACTTATGAGTTACGACACGCGAATCGGACTCACCAGTTGCTGCCGCCGCCTCCGCCACCACGCCCGCCGCCGAATCCTCTGCCTCCTCCTCCTCCTGCCGTACGACCCCCACCTCCTCCGCGTCGCTGCCTAGCAGCACCACCTCGCCCCCTGTCCTCGTCATCCAGGTAATCGTCGTCATCATCCACGTAATCCTCATCATCATCCTCGTCATCATCCCCTGGTGCCAGCTCAAAATCCCGCTCGTCCTGTCCACGATTGCCGTACGCATCACCCCCATCCGGCAGCTCATCACTGTCGTACTCCTCGGCTCCAAACTGCTTGGCGGGCCTGCGGCTGCGACCGCTGCGGGTGCTGGCTGCTGCTGCTGCTGCTGGCGCTGCCTTGGCAGCCGTCGCCGGCTTGGATGACGGCTGGACCCGGCCAGCTCGGCTGCCGCTGACGCCTGGGGGTACTGCAGCGGCAGCGGCAGCGGCAGCGGCAGCACCAGCACCAGCCTGTCTTGCAGGCGGCGCCTGCGGCGCCGCAGCCGCCAGAGGCCGCGGTCTGAAGGGTGCGCCGGTGGAAGGGGGGGAGGTATCAGGGGAGGCTGAGGACCTTGCAGCGCTCTGGCGCCCAGCCGCAGCACCGGCGGTTGAGGGCGTCACGCCTCGGGACACCGGAGGTGTGGCGCCTCGGGAGGGAGGCACGGGGGGGCCCCGCGGCTGTGTTAAGCCGCTTGCCTGCAAAGCCGCTGGAGGGCCCTGCTGCTGCTGCTCATCCTGCTCCTCGTCCTCATCGTCTATACGCGCGGCCTTACGCAGGCGGTTGGCTTGCCGGCCGCGACGAGGTCCGAGATCGTCCTCATCGTCTTCTAAGTCCTCAAGGCCGGCGTTGGTGGTCTGAGCTGGGCCGCCTCCTCCCTGGAGTTGGCTGCTGGCCATGGCTGCGAGTCCTGTCGTACTTGCGCGCCCTGGTGCCAAGCGGTGCAGTCCCTGGGGAGCTGGCTCGTCCACGTCATCCATCAGCTCGTCTGGATCGGCGGCCTGGTCAACGTTTGGCCGATGTCGTTTGAGGCGTCCAGTTCCGGCAGAGGATGGAGCAGGAGGGCTGGATGGGCGAGCAGATGCGACAAGGCCAGCTCGTTGCGGTGCTTCTGCAGGTGGAGACGTTCTGTGTAGTGGAGGTGATGCGGTTCTGGTGGGAGTCTGGCTGCGCCCGGCGTCAATCAGCGGTCCGCCTGTCTGTGGTGGTGAGTTTGTTGCAGCGGTGGATGCCGCACCCTGCCCCGAAGCCGCCGCTGCTGCGGCTGCAGCCGCTGCCGCTGCAGCCATAGATTTTGCAAGCTTCAAGCGTATCTTATTCACCGGTGGCGGGGCTTGGGGAGCTTGGCTAGATGGACCTGTCGCAACCGGAGGACCATCTTGTCCGCTGGTCGTTGGGGCAGCAGGACGCCCTGGCGCAGGAACCCCAACTTTAAGCTTCAGCTTCAGGCCAGGGCCTTTGGTTCCCTGACCCGAATACTGGCTTCCTCCTTGTGACTCGGACATTTGCAGTCTAACCGCCCAGATCAGCACTCAACACTGTCCCATCAACGATGAGGCTTACAAGATTTCTACAGTGCCAAAATAGTGGGCAGGAGTGGTGAAGGAAGCTACCATGGCCGGACACCAGCAGTAATAAGGGACAGCAACGCAGGCAAGATACTTCAATGAAGAATACGTACTCTATGATTATGAAAGATAATAGCAACGGAAGTCCAAAAGGTTAAAGAAGAGTCAGTCCTTTTCATGCTGAGCGGTTGGTTTAGCGTCCCTAGCTACCTGTCGTGAACGCATGCTTTACGTAAACGTCTACGGCCAGTAGCACATAGGCAAAAACGTTACTTTGTAATATGAAATAATTGGAACTGCGTAATGTACTGCTTAGCGCGAACCAAGGGTCTGAGTGGGTCAGGAGCTTGCACTTGCAGCTCGCGCCCCGGGCGTTGCCGGCATCTAACAAGCAGGTGCCGGGCGCGGATGGGCTCTAGCCCCCAAAACCCGCCCCGGCGTACTAGGCTCTAGGCGCGCTTCCGCATGCATGCACGCCTAGAGAGGACCCCGGAGAGAGTAGGGGTGGGAGGGTGGGAAACAAAAGGCTCGCCTACCTACAGCTGCAGCCATACTTAAGAACTGTCTGCAACTACGCAAAAGTCAGCGCCTTCCTAACTGCGCACGGAAACTCAGCGGCAAAGACCTGAAAGGCCAGCTGAGGGCAAACTGTTTAACCAAGGTCAAAACGTCTAGCACCGTCCACTCGCAAGCCTGGTGGCGACTGCTCTGCTCCCTGTCGTACATGCGCTCCAAAACCCCATTTTTAGTTGACACTCAAAATGATACTTTTGTCGCACACACTCCAGTGCCAGAGGAGTCGCACCCCTCATCAACTTACACCGCCTGGGACCTGGCCTGCGGGCCCAGACTCCGAACAGCGTCTAAGAGACCCAACTCTGTAACTAACCAAGTTTGCTACCTAGCCGATACCTCACCCTACCCTCTCCGGGGAACAACAGGAGAGGGGGAAAACCAACAGCCGGGCGCGGATGGGCTCTAGCCCCCAAAACCCGCCCCGGCGTACTAGGCTCTAGGCGCGCTTCCGCATGCATGCACGCCTAGAGAGGACCCCCCTTACCCTGTCACCCACCGCACGCCTCGTCACCTCACATGCACCCCACAATGCGGGCCTTAGCCGCCGCGGAGGGGAGGATATACGCGCTCACCGCCTCCGACCGCCACCTCCCGTGCGCCTTGATCTGCTCTCCAGAGGCCCCCCCTTCCGCTGCAGCCGTGGCTCCCCCCCTTCTCAGGCTGTGGGACGCGTAATCTGGTACCCGCCCGGCTATTTGTGGCAGGGCGCGCTGCATCTCTCCTAAGAGCGCCCTAAGCCTACGCGTAAACCCCTCCTTCCGCCAAGCCTCCGACCCCGGTCCCCACTGGGGGCCCCGCGTGAAGAGCGGCGCGCTGGGCTCCGCCCCCCCAGAGCGGGCCCGCTCTAGGTGGCGCCCTATAATGCGCCCGATGCGTACTCCGCTGCCAGACGATGCCCCCAGGTGCACATCCACCCCTGCCCCAACCTGATCGGTCTTGCTCCTCGTTATCCGCACCACGTGAACCCCACCAGTCAGCGAATGCACGTCACCTAGCCGCAGCCCCGCCAGCTCACTTCTCCGCAGCATCCCAAAGAAACCCACCACCAGCCAACACGCATCCTGCTCGAGCTCCGCTCGGCGCGCTGGCGCCCCGTCCGCCGTCGCTGCCAGCCAGCCCAATAGGAGCCGCAGAAGCGGCACCGGGAACGCCTCCTTCGTACGTTGCGGCAGCGGCTCGGCCCCTGCATCGCCGCCAGCTGTGGCGGCTGCCGCCGGCGCCCGGGCACGCCACGCCTGCCTCAGCGTGCGTTGCACCAATGGGTTCCGGCGGATGGAGGCCTCCGCCGGAAAACCCTTCGCGCGCTGCCAGTCCGCAAGGGCGCTAATGGTGCCTGACAACGTTGAGGGGGCCACACGGTCGGCCTCATGGGCGATGAACAGGCTCACCAGCTCGGGGCTGAGGTCCGCGCCCCGCGCAGGTGGGAAAGCCGCCCTCATGGGTAAGCCCAGAGCAGCGCAGAAGGCCGCGTAGCGGCGGCGATGGGATTCGTACGTCCCTGCTGAACCCGCCGACACGGCGCTTCCCGCTAGCGCCACCAGCCTCGCCGCGAGTGCCTCCTGCCGACCGCCCGCAGCCCCTGCCGGAAAACCCGCCGCCGCCAGGATGCAGTGGATGCAGCGGAACCAGCCGCCGGGGTACGAGCCCGGCGGCAGTCCCAGGCAGCGGCGATGTGCCCGTATGTCGCATGTCTCACAGCGCAAGTCCCCCACGGAGGTGCGCCGCACGCAGGCCTCGCAGCTCCCGCCACCCTCTACAATCGCCATGGGGGCGCAAACGCGGATCGGAATTCGGTCAGGGCAGGCGTAAGACCAGCATATCGTAAGGAGAAGGACCCGCCTCGTCGCCCCAGGGCCAAACGCAGAGGCGGCCGCCCCTGGGCAGCACCTGGGCGACCCGGAATGGTGCGGATCGGCTACGGACGAAGGCCCGGAACCACCCCCGCTCCGGCCAGAAAGGCACCACCACAACCGCCCGCGTCCGCGAGTCACGCCGTGCCGCTGCCACGAGGGTCGCTAGCACCTCCCCCACCAGGGCCTGGGGTGGGAAGGCCCACAGCGCCTTGCCCGCCAGCTCGGCCTCCTGGCCAAGCACCGACCGCCCCGCGCTGTAGAACACCTCACAGCCGGGCTGCCGGTTGGAGCCATGGGCGTCGCAGCAGCAGTCGGCGGTGGGCCGGAGAGAGAACTTGCGGCATAGCTCCCTGAAGATGCTGGCCTTCAGCCGCAGGTTCTGATCCTGGGCGCTGTCAAGGCGGCGGCTGAGGCGGTCGGCCTGGCCGTTGTCCACGCCGGGAATGTGCTCAGCCCGGACCTCGAACCCTGAGCTAATCGCAAGCTCTGCAATTTGGCGGCTAAGGCTGCGGCCCTCTGGGATGCGGGTGGAGCCGTGGTTGATGGCTGCTACGGCTTGGGTGTTGTCACAACGCACCAGCACCCGGCGCCCGGCAAGGCTGGCGGCCCATGACTGCAGCGCTCTGAGGACCGCCTTGAGCTCCAGCCACGAGATGTGCAGCTGACGCTCCTCCTCTGACCATGCCCCTTGCACCTCCGCCTCCCCCCAGACTGCGCCAAACCCACGCCCACTAGCGTCCGTGAAGAGGACGGCCCCATCCTGGCCGATAAACTCCCCCCTCACTAGGTCCAAACCGATGCCCGCTGAGCGCTTTACCCCGTCCCAGACAGAGGAATCCGCCCGTAGCACCTGCCACCAGAAAGCCAGGTCTTCTACTGCGTCCGCCGCCAGGCCGACAGTGGCCGGCGGGCGGGTGGGGCAGAAGAGGCTGTCGTAGAGGCCCTGCATGAACGTGAAACCCCAGCGGCATGCCCGGGCTATGAACGTTAAGCGGCCGACGGTGGACTCCAGGAGGTGCCGCTGCACTGGTCCGGTAGCTGCCGCGTCCAGGAGGGCGCGCACGTCCGCCGCGTAGCGCTGCCGCTTGTCCGGCGAGATGCGCATCTCCATCTTCTCGGTGTCGAACAGCATACCCAGGAAGTCGAGCTGCCGCAGGTGCTCGTTTCGTCCGCGGTCCTTGCTGGTCTTCCACTCCAGCCCCAGCTCGCCACCTATTTCGTCCATGACCGCGAAGGCGCCAACGACGTCTGCATGGGTCACCCCTAGGATGATGTAGTCGTCGACGAAGCAGAAGAGCTTGACCCGTAGCCCCCGCCGGTCGCACTCCGCTTGGAAGATGGCACACGCGGCGTTGGTTAACTCCACAAAGATTGGGGGCGATTGGCTGGCGCCGAAGGGCAGCACCACCCAACGCAGGACTGCCTCCGTGGTGGGATGCCTAAAGGCCATGTACCGGCGTGCTTCCGGGCTGCACTTGATGTGGTGGAAACCAGATGCGAGGTCCCGTTTGCCTAGCGCCCCTTGGAATGGCAAATGCTCCAGAATTGAGGCGAGGTCGGGCAGCGGGCAGGGGAGCTTGGTCATGCAGTCGTTCACCCCCGAAGCGGTAGGGTCGATGATCGGGCGCAGGTTGCCATCCGCCTTGCTGACAACATGCAGTGGGTTGATAGTGGCTGCAAAGTTGCGCAGGGGGCCATGCTGCTTGCTGTCGTACGCCTCCACCAGGCCCTGGCGCAGTAACTCGTCAATGTGGCTGGCGTACCATTCGCTGTGTTCGCGCACGGATGGGTAGTTGCGCAAGTGGTGCGAGGTTGGCGGCGTGGTGTGGAAGGTCCAGCTGGCTTCGTTACGGGACGCAGGCGTGTCGATGCCGTGACGCTGCCACGCGGCCGTATTAAGCTTCACGCCCCCTGGGCCGAACCAGCGGCCGGCCGACGGCGTTTCCGCCGCCGAGTCAGGCATCCACAAAACTGCATGAGGCACAGGTCAAGGTTACGCTTTGGGTGTTCACCCTCGCAGGGCCCCCGTTCGCCGTAGGTCGCGTACACCACCGATTGAACCACATGCGAACACCGTCAGGCCCTTCTTCCTTCAGGCAGAGCCACACGACCCCGGTGCATGCCACGGCATATTGCTTGTCACCCGCGCAAGGCCCCAGTCCGCCGTAGGTCGCGTACACCACAGACTAGACAGCAGGTGGACGCAGGCAGGCCCTTCTCCCCTCGGGTAGGGTCACGCCACATGGACACACGCAACAGCACATTGCTTGTCACCCGCGCAGGGCCCCAGTCCGCCGTAGGTCGCGTACACCACAGACTAGACAGCAGGTGGACGCAGGCAGGCCCTTCTCCCCTCGGGCAGGGTAACGCCACAAGGACACACGCAACGGCACGTTGCTTGTCACCCGCGCAGGGCCCCAGTCCGCCGTAGGTCGCGTACACCACAGACTAGACGGCAGGTAGACGCAGGCAGGCCCTTCTCCCCTCGGGCAGGGTCGCGCCACATGGACACACGCAACAGCACATTGCTTGTCACCCGCGCAGGGCCCCAGTCCGCCGTAGGTCGCGTACACCACAGACTAGACAGCAGGTAGACGCAGGCAGGCCCTTCTCCCCTCGGGCAGGGTCGCGCCACATGGACACACGCAACAGCACATTGCTTGTCACCCGCGCAGGGCCCCAGTCCGCCGTAGGTCGCGTACACGCTTACCTTCTGGTGTCTCCATCCCTGCCGTATTTGCGTCAGCTGCCCCACCGCCGGCCGTACTGCCGGCGGCTGGATGGAGGGGGGGCGCCGTTGGCGCCGGGGCGACCTCGCCCCCAGCTGACGCTGCCGCGTCCTAAGCCGGCCGGCGGGCTGCCTGCTCCTGCTTGGCGCATTCTGCGAATGCTGCCGTTTGGGCCCCAGGTTCCAGCGACCGCAACTCTCGGCCGCCGCGGTAGCTGTGTCCGGGCCTCTTGCAGTAGAAGCAGCCGTTGTCGCGTGGGGCACGGGGCTGTGCTGGGGCCGGCGGGAGTGGAAGAGGCGGGGGCGGCGGGTAAGCCGCCGCGGGAGCGGCGGCTGAGGCGAACTTCCCGAAGAGGTGCTGGCGCTGGCTGTCCGTAAATTGCGACAGGGCGGCTAGGAACTGCTGTGTGAGGGGAGAGCCCTTGCTGAATACGTCCATGACGTCCTTGAAGGGCAGGACACGGGCTGCATTCTGCACCTGCCGGAGGACCTCTTGTGTACGAAAAGCCTCCTCCCACACCTGCGCGGCCTTGGCCAAGAGCAGCGAGAGCTCCTCCGAAGAGGATGCGCAGTGTTTGGCCGCTTCCAGCTGGGACGCGAGATGCTGCAGGGAGCGGAGATGACTGTCTGCCTTGTGCGTGAAGGTCGCCTGGTCCCGGGATGCGAAGCTGACGTCCGCCAGCGAGACCAGGCTGCTGAGGCCTGGGATGCGGTCGAACACGTCTGCCCAGGCCCCTTCACGCTGAACGGTTGCCGCCAGGGGCCCAGAGCGGACGGCGGTGCTGAGCCGAGGGGTAGGTGGCCGAGGCCCAGCACTGAAGAGTTGCTGTTTAAGTCCCCGCCACTGCCCCCCAGCGTGAGGCCCAGTCCCCCTAGGCCTCCCAGGCCTGCTGACGCTGCCCCAAATGCTTGCAGCCTGCTGCTGCCGGGAAGGCCCTGTAGGTTCAGGCCGGCACTCCAGCGTGCGTTCCCTATGGCAGGGTGCCGTTGGTCGTTCTGCAGGGTGGCGACTGCCGGCCGCCGGTCTTGCGGCAATAGCTGCTGCTGCCGTTGCTGGCGCTGAGGCTGGTGCTGTTCGCTGTCTTCTTCGTCCTGCAGAGCCGCCAGCTGCCGCTCTAGCACCGTCCTCCAGACTTCCGCTGCCTCGTCAGCGGATACAGGCTCCCTGATTTCCCGTCTTGCCAGCTCCAGGCTCGCGAGGCGCCGTACTTTGCGAGCTGCATCGCTCAAGCCCGCGTTCTCAAGGCGATCGAGAGCCCGTACAACCGCTGTCGGTGGGACGGATACGGCGCTGGGTGCCACACCCACGTCCCTCGCCGGCGCTGCCCTTGCGATTGCCGGCGACCCCGTACCGGGCATGGCGGGAGGGCCGGTGTGCTGCAGTGGCGTTGCTTGGGTGGCAAGGAAATCTTCAGCAAGAGCATCTAGGTGACCAGTTACGCCCAAGGTCTCGGGGTCAGGCGCGTTAGGTGAAGCAGTGGTGGCGTGCCGGTGGCTTATCTGACGGCCGGGGGTCGCCTGGAAAGCCTCCCGGACTGCACGAGTGCCCCCCCGTCCCCTGTCTGCCCGAACGCGAGCCGCTGTTGCCCGCCGGCCCCTGGACCCTCCTGGCCGTTGCTCCGCCCCGTTCTCACCATTGTCAATTTCCTCCGGTGCCTCTGCTTCGGCGTTGTGGATGTGAGCCGGCGCTGCTCCGGCCGCTGCGTTGCTGGGCCCTGGGAGCGCGGCCAATTCTTCTTGCAGAGCTGTCCCCTGATTGCGAAGCTGTTCCCAAGACTGGTAACGTGATAGCAACTCATAACCGCGCCTGTGCGTCTCGCGAGCCTGCCTCCGTTTAGCGTTTCTGTTTGAATTGGCCCGCTGATGGGCTTCCTGCCAGGTGCTAACTGCTACCGCGCTGCCACGGCTAGGCCTGGTAAGTCCCACTGGAGCCATGGCTGCCTGATACGCTTGTTCGGCTTGCTCTACCGCCCAATTGTACTCGCGGACCTGAGCTCGGTCTGCTTCGGTCAAACCTAGCTCTGCTAGCTCTTGGTTAATATCTGCTAATTTAGCCAAACAAAAGGCTCGCCTACCTACAGCTGCAGCCATACTTAAGAACTGTCTGCAACTACGCAAAAGTCAGCGCCTTCCTAACTGCGCACGGAAACTCAGCGGCAAAGACCTGAAAGGCCAGCTGAGGGCAAACTGTTTAACCAAGGTCAAAACGTCTAGCACCGTCCACTCGCAAGCCTGGTGGCGACTGCTCTGCTCCCTGTCGTACATGCGCTCCAAAACCCCATTTTTAGTTGACACTCAAAATGATACGTGGACTGTAACAGCAGGCGCTGCGCCCGTGGCCACGATACCGTAGCTGTCGCTCTAGGTCAAGTATGCCCTAGACAATGCTTGGTAACCCTATACTGCACATGCCATGACCGCAATTAAGGGTAAGATCGGTGGTGCCAGGTTTTGAGAAACGAATACCGGTAGGGTGGATACTGGCAGTCAGCAACGCTGCGCGCAGGCGTGTTGCACGCTTGTTCGGGTTCTTGGATGGCCTGTTAGCCGCCGTTTCGAGCTCGTCGTGAAACATGACAGGTTTGCCGCCTTTCATTCCTTTCTCCTTGTTGTTCAGGGCGTTCCACGTCTCCGCTATGTACGGCGAGATGCCGCTGTGTGTACGTCTACAAGGTTCAAAGGGGCCTCCACACAAGAAGCATGCGGCAAGGGAACCAGGTTCCGTGTAACGTGTCCTACTTGGTGGTCATTTATGCGCGGTCACGTGGATACATAGAAGGGGAGCGGCGTGGAAGGGCCATAGACCCCGGGGACTATGCGGCTACAGCTGAGTTCAACCACAGCACCCCGACGGCATGCGGATAGACAGATGTAAAGGGCGGATTGCTCCTAGGCAGGATGGCCTGTTTGCAAGCGCCTTGCGGCGTTGTTAGCAAAGTCAAAAGTACGAAACTCCAATGGCGCTTGCTGCTTGCATGTTGCCCCTGTGCATTGCTGCAAAGCGAAATATCTTACTAAATAGAAATGTTACTAAGATGATACTTTAACAGGACGTCCTTTAATCATTACTAGAATTTTTAGACTGCAATGATTCGTAAAGATGGCATAAGTACATAACCGCCTACATGCCATGACAATGGGCCTCGAACATATGACGTTTCTACAAGGGCTGTCTGAATTAGAACGCAGCGCTTTGTTGGCAGATGCTCATCCGGGAGGGGATTGCTTTCCTTTTGGTAGGCTCCTTTTGGGATGGTTCCCGATGCAGCTGCTTTCATACTCCTCGTACTACATGTAGTTACTGGCTGTGTCGCAGATGTCGTTGGGGAAGCGAAAATTAGCCGTGGCCATGGCAGTGACAAAAGCGACAGGGCAGAGTGCGAACAGCTCAAGCTGCAGCTAAAGGGAGAGCGGGAACGACGGCAGCAGCTGGAAGCTCAGGTGTGCACGGGAAGGGGCTCTCTGCGTCCCAAGCAGGGAAGGCAGCGGGGGTAGGGGTAACGCTCCCTTGATAACAACTCCCTGTGCATGGGGAGCACTTCTCCACGACCCTGCCTGCCTCTCGTTGCAGGTTTCCTCTCTGCAAGCAGCGCTCACAGACCAGTCTGTTGAACTCGATGAGCTGCGGAGCAACAGGAACCTGCTGCGTCAGCGTGCCTTGCGCAACGACGAGCAGGGGTCACGTCTGGCGGCCTCGGTCACGTCCCTGGAGCAGGAAAACGCCTCGCTAACCGCCAAACTGCTGGCGGCTTCCAACGAGCGTGCCCAGCTGGTTTCGAAGCTTGAGACGTTACAGGTACGGCCTCAGCACCCATACGCCACACCAGGAAGCAGCCTGCGCGCCAGCACATGCAAGGCTGCGCAGCGTAAACCCACATGCACCCGAACCTTATCACTGCCCAGTCCCCACCGTTGCGACCCAAATGGCCCAACCGCGCACCAGCCGCAATCTTGTGACGTCATCTGGTTACACATGCGCGCACAGTAGCCCTGCCGTACCGCCCGTCCGCCGTACGCCCGCAGGTGCGGGTTTCGGAGCTGCAGCAGAACTGCGTGAGCATGGCCAGCTGCTGCGAGGACGGCGTTGAACGGCGGGACATCCTGCGGCGCAGCCGGCTGGGCGGGCTGATGCGCGACGCGGCGGCCGCGGGGGCGCTAGACGCGGACCTGCAGCAGTCGCTGAGCGCGAGCGTCTCCCTGGACCGACCCGCATCGAACAAGGTGAGGTGGTGGGGTGGAGAAAAGCTGTCATGCTGCTAGGTTACCTCTGTTTTGCCTGTACTCGCGGTTCACATGCGAACCTATTCCTACTGCTTGCTCTTGTTTCTGCTCAACTACACACATACCATCACAAACAGCGCACGGAGCTTGTCACACGCCATTCCCGCGCATCACAGACGGTGCAGGAAAGGGGAAAACGTAGTCAAACCCCGCTGCGAGCAAAGGCATGCGAGCCATGCCGAGTACCTTGTACCCTGCACTCTACCGTTACGATGACGCTCGTGTTTGCTGCAGGCGGTGGGCAACACCATCGCGTCGCTCACTCGCGAGCGCGACGTGCTGCAGCAGCGAGTCAACGAGCTGTCGACCCGGCTGGCGGATGCGGTGGGGCGCGAGGGGGCGGCGCGGGGCGCGCAGGCGCTGCGGAGTGCCTGTTGGAAGCGCTCGGCCGTGCAGGCGGAAGCCAAGTGGGTACGGTAGTTGGCAGGCCCTGGTCCTGGCGATGACCCGATGAGGTTGCATGGAGGGAGAAAGCGGGGGTGCTGGAGACTGCCCGCATGCCGTAATGTGTTAAAAAGGTTTGGGTTGGGGTTTGCAGTGTGCTGAGCAGGGCGGGCAAGGTGTTGTGGGACGGATGTGGGATTTGACGTCGGCCACTCGTCGGCTTGCAGGCTGGCGGCTGCGTTGAAGCGCGTGAAGGACCTCAGCGAGGAGCTGCGTAAGCGGGACCTGGAGGCGCGGCAGGTGAGGGGGTGAATGAATGGCCGTTACAACAGGGAGTGCTGGCAGGGGGAAATGCCTACCGGTAGGCAGGCATGGAGCACCGCCGACACGCCGGGGGTGGGCTACAGTCCTTGCTGGCCCACATCCCTGCTGCCTCCGCAAGGGTGCCCGTACCTCTAGATCGAGTTGTGATGTGGGACCTCATCTGCTTTTGAGATATCCATACCGGTACGTCCTTACACACGCACCCGGGATTATCCCTCTGCCTGTGTCGCCTCTCGTCCTCCCCACTCCCCTCCTCCCCCCTAGCGCGACAAGTACACCTCGCAGCTGGAGCGCACCATCATAGCGCAGCACAAGACCCTGCAGCAGCAGCGGCGCCTGCTGGAGGCCGGAGAGACCGCCTCCGCCTCCGCAACGGGCGGCACCGGCGCCACGGCGGCTCGAGTGGGCGGTCCCCATCAAGACGACGACGACGCCATGCACAGCGCCGGTCTGGCCAACAAGGGCGCTGCCTGCGACAAGCTCGGCGCCGCCGCCATGCATGCCGCTCAGCCGCGTGACGGCGGCAAAGGCCCCTCCTCCTCCTTTGCGGCGCCGCCCTCCAGCGCTGTAGCAGGCGACGGCAGCAGCAGCGCAGCGTCGGGTGGCGGTGCCGCGGCGGGCAGCGGAGTGGGTGGAGGCGGCGGGCTGCGGCTGGCATGGCCGGGGCCGGGGCTGCAGGGCTCTGAGGCGCCGCGGAGCCGGAGCCGCTACAGCCCGACATCCTCGCCGCAGCGGCAGCCCTACTCGCAGCATCCCATGCAACAGCAGCCGCCGCAGCAGCAAGGTTTCCGGGAGCTGCAGCAGTCCCAGCAGCTCCAACAGGACTACTTGCAGGGCCCGTTCCTCGTTGACAGCAGCTGTTGGAGCTCCCCCGAGAGCCCGTCAGACGCATCCCGCGGACGGGCGCCTCCTTTCCGGGCGTCTGCGGACGGCAGCGACCCATGGGTCTTGCCGCCGCTGCCTTCGGGGCTTAGCGGGCGCTTGGACCTGAGCGTGATGCCGCTGGTGTTGCAGCAGCGCGGGCAGCCGGCAGGGCTGAGGGCAGGGTGTGGACAGGAGCAGCTGCTTGCAGGGGAGCAGGCGGCGAGCCCCGTGGATCTGGTCAACGGCTGCATGCGGGGGACAGCCAACACGACCGGGACGAGAAGCAACGGCCTTCCAGCTTCATCAGGCCCTCGGGTGGGTGATCCCTCGGATGGTTGGTTGCTGCGTACCGTATGTCCCCCGCGTGCGCTCTCCCTTCTAGGAGGCCTAGGCATCTTGCAAATATTACCGGTATATGCTGCACTGTTTGCAAGGAAGTGCTTGGTAATACTATATTCACCGTGTACTGGTATTGAGTGGCAATATAACACCCCTCATTGCCTCACCTCCTTAACACACGCCAGGGCTTGCCCGGCGTAACTATTATTATTATTATTGAGTGGCAATGAACGCAGTGCCGTAGTACGCGCTTCCAGTTCGTCCTCCAGCATCAGATTGGACCCATGCTGCCGTTCCTCGCCCTCCACCGCCCCAGCAGGCCGCTCCCCTGCAGCAGCAGCTGAGCCACGTGGAGGCCAGTCTGGCGCAGCTCTACCGCGAGCTGGAGGAGTTCAAGGACTACTCCATGCAGCGTAACCGCTACGAGGAGGACCGCGGCCGCGGCGGCGGCGGCGGACATGGTGGTGGTGGCAATGCGGTGTTGGATGCGGGCGATGTAGGAGGCGCAGGCCTAGGCAAGGGTGCCGCGGACGGGTGTGGGGATAGTGAACTGGGTTCGCCGCCGCCCGTGCTGCAGCGCTGCGCTACGCCGCCGCGGCGCAGCAGGAGCGAGGGTTTGGGTGCTGCTGCCGGCCGAGCGGATGAGGGAGGATGGCAATGCGGCGAGGAGGAGGATGGGGAGTGCTCTCACGCGCCGACCTTTGCCATGCCCTCCAGTCCCACTTTTCACTCGCCAGGCAGCAGCCGACTGCAGCAACACAGGCCAGGTGAAGGCAGTACGGCTCGAGCGGCACCGCGGTGTGACCCATGGGACGGCGGCGGCCAGTCGCCCAGTCGAGGTGGTCCCCCTGTTGCTGCTGCGTCTGCTTCCACACGCACCGTATCCGAGGGTGGCGTCAGACGCAGCGCGGGTATGTTGTACGACGAAGATGACGTGTCCTTCCGGAATGATGGTGTCATCCCTGAGACCTTCTTCCACGCCGGTAGCAGCCTCCCTGGAGCCCCTGCAGGTCCCATGGGCCGACCGCCGTACGAAACGCAACGGGCCCTTGGAGGACTCCGTACCTCGGATGATGGCAGCGTGCAGTCCATGCCGCACCGACCCGCTGGGTCGGCTGCGCTGCCAGTTCGGACCAGCAAGGCACATCAGGCGCCGCAATCCGCATCATGGGCTTCCGCTCCCGTGGGTGGTAAGGGCCGTCCTGGTACGGCAGCTGCCGTACAAGATCCCTTCTTGGATGAGGTTGAGAGCTCGGTGGCGGCATCATGCGGGTCCTCGGTACGGCAGCCTGAGCGGGAGTACGGCGGAGAGTCGCTTGCGCCTCCTTGCGTGCGGCCTGCTGGCGGCGGGAACGGAGGGTGTGGTGGCGGCGGCGGGTTTGACGAGGCTGGATGCAGCGGATGTAAGGGCTCTGCCGCATGCCAGCCCTATGGAGGCGCCCAAGTGGCAAATGCAGAGGGCTGTGGCTATCAGCCCCATCAGAATCCGGAGGAAGGCGGTGAAGCGGGTGCGCAGGGTGCTACAGCGCCCTGTCAACAGGCGGAAGATGAGCAGCCGCGACAGCCCCTGCCAAACCACGTTCTGGGTCACCTCATGCGTTGCACCCACCATGCCGGTCCAAACCAAGCGCATGGCTCAAGCGGTCGTGGCGGCTCAGCCAACCGAGCATTCCGTCATCAGGGCAGTACGGCAAGAGCAGCAAACAGCCCCTCAGGCAGCGCCTTCCCACCCGCCGCTCGTGCAGCAGTGCCCGGGACTAGCAGCAAGCGCCCCATGTCCCCTCCAGGCGGCCTGCATGGGAGCCCCAAAACTCGACCCGACCCACGGGTCAGTGGGGTTGAGGAGCTCACACGCATCCTCAGGGCCACGCCGGCCGGCAGTGCAGCAACTTCACGGCATGAGGACTCCGCACAGCAGCACCGGCGGGGTCAGGCGGCCTCACACCGGGGTCAGGGTGCATGGGGACGAGCGTCTGGGGGCAGCCGCAGCCCAACGTCAACCGCAGCACCGGCGGCTAGCGCGGCGGCCTCCGACCGCAATGCAGCAGCTGCTGCGGAGTCTTCAGGGGCGCTGACTTGCAGGACTGGGGCTGCCTATGGAGCCAGCAAGGAACAGCGCCCCGGGTAGGGAGTGGTGGTTGTCGACCCCCGGTTGTAAGGTTGGAAGTTCGTTGGCCCGGGGATGTCACGGCTTCCTCAGAAGCCGAGGAGGTTGTCGAGGTTACCGGTACCGCCACGCGGCATGATACACGGCACTTTCATGGCACCCCTGCTTTGTACGCTTCCTGCCCGTCCTGTCATTACCTCATTGAGCGTCGCATGAACGCGCCCCCGGCTTAACTTCCCTTTTCCTGGACCCACCCTACCTCCCTTGCACAGCCCCAGAAGCGCTCACGTTCACGGGACGTGGGGCTCATCGGGCCCCAGTAAACGCACCTCATCAATGCGCAACAGCGTCAACGTTCCCTCCCAGCTCAGCTCACCGCGCACACCGTCCCGTGGGTCGGTCCAACAGCATCACCAGACGGCCGCAGCCGGCGGCACTGCAGCGGCTGCTGGCGGCAGCACGTTGCCGCAGCAGCTTGCGTCACCGCTCGAAATGTCGCCCATTTCCACTCTGCTAGCCAACATCAGCTCCAGCCCTACAGGGCCCCGAGCGTCCATGTCCTCCCACTCGACTTCACAAGCGCAGGCTTGTAGCAGCAGGCAGTACGATGACGTCAGCAGCGCGCCAAGCCAACCATTCATCACCGCCACCACCACCTCATCAACCTCGCATGCAAACCACCAGGCATCAGCAGCTGAGCTGCACCGTAACAACGTAACCAGCAGCAGCTGCATGCAAGGCGGCTCTCAGGCTGGCTCCTGGCCTGGGGAACGCATGCTGAATGGCGCCAGCGGTGACAGCACACGGGCCGGGGTCCGCAGCGGAGGTGGAGGTGCCAGCAGCAGTGGCAGCGCCGGTGTTGCGCATGATTTGCATGGCAACTACGCACCCTCCGGGCCCATGCCGCCGCGTAACTCTAGTGGAGGCGCAACCTTGCATGCAGGTGAGGAACATGGCAGGGACATGCACGGTCATACCGGTGGTGCCGGTAATGCTTCAGACGGCGGTGGCGGCGGCTGGGCATCTGTGTTCCTTCCGCCGCCGGCTGACCGCAGCCTGCACTACCATGTCCCCACAGGACCAGGACCAGGACCCGTGGAGGTGTTGCCGACCGCGTCCGAGCGCGCCTGCGACTCCAAGGGCAGCACCGCCTCGCAGCGGCCCACGCTGGGGGGCTGGTTGCTGGCGGAGGCGACGTCGCGCGTGGATGCCCTGGCGCTGCTAGACACGGGGAATACTGGGCCCCGAAACCAACACCACCAACCGGTCCAGCAGCACCAACAGCAGCAGAACCTCCTCCAACAGTCGAACCAGCAGAACCATACTGCGTTTTGGGGTCCGGAGGACGGGGGATGTGCGCCGCAAGCTTCAGCAGCGGGCACCTCAGTCACGGCTTTGCAGCGGCTGCGCGATAAACGGTTGCAGCGTATTAGCCAGCAGCAGCCGCAGCCACAGCAGCAGTACGGCTCCCAACTGCAACGGCAGCAGCAACCGCCGCCGCCGCAGCAGCAGCAAGGTTGCCGCACAGAAGTGGGTGAGGGCGACGACTGGGATGGTGGTAGCGGCGGCGGAGGACTGCAAGCCTTGGATGCACATAGCCGCCAACCTTTGCTGACGTCGCATCAGTTACCAACGGCACAGCTGATGCCGCCAGCATTAGCTGAGGAAGGAAGCCTGCGGGCGCTACGCGACGCCATGCGGGCAAGCTCAGTAGGCTCAGCAGGGCCTTCCTCCAGCCGAGATTCAGCAGGCGGCGCGGCAGCCACAGCGACCAGTCGAGAGGCCTCCAGTGCTGGCGGCGGCTCCAGGGCCGCGGTCCCCATCCCTGCAGATTCCCTGCACGCAGCAGAAGACGGCGTCGTTGGGCAGGTACCGGTGGCGCAGGGCCGTGAAAGCAGCGGCGGGCAGAGAGGGCTGGTTGCTGCCTTGGCTGGTAGCGACCGCAGCAACACTCGGGAATATTCCAGCGGTGGGGCTTGGGCAGGAGCGCCCCAAGCAGGGCTTCTGGATTCCGACCCTTCCTCCTCCTCGGCGTCGGCTGTTCCCCCGGCGGGGGGCCACCCGCTCATGCAGCTGCTGGGCCAGGCATCCGCTGACTTGCAGCTGCTTAGCAGCCGACTGAAGCCCCTGGTGGGTGGCAACGGCAGCAGCTAGTTGGGTTCATTGGTCATCGCCCGTGTTCTCCACCTGGGAACCATTGTAGAAAGGGTCATTCCTCATTCGTTCTGCTGGTGTATGAAAGTGGTGGTTTGTCGTCTGCCAGGTTGTATGGGCTGGAGCGGGTGTGTCTGAAGTGGGTTTGGGGGCCTCGTAGCTTGTGGCTTGCTGCGTGCTGTGGGGGCTTGAGTTTACTGGTAGCGCTATGTGTTTTGTTGGCAGCTAAGGCGATTTGGACCTCAGGAGTGGTTCATGCAGTGCTTCTCGAGTTTGGCAGGATTGGATTGGTTAGGTATTCCTCGATCGGCAGGTAGTGCTACCGTTCCTATGTAAAAGTTATGGCACATGGATAAGGCCTGGAGCCTTTATGGAAGTATCCGCGCCTAAACAAGATCATCAAGCTTATCTTCAAGACCGCGACGCAGAATCGGCACTTTAAAAGGGGCACCTTTATGATTCATGGCCAGTGTTCGCTGAGAAAGGATGAGTCGCCGTTGGTCTGCGTCGGCCCCTCCTCTTGTATGTTTTGCTCCCGTTACTGGCTTCCTCTTTTGCATGATCCCCCGAGCCACTGCAGTCAGGAAAGCTTATTGGAAATAGCATTGCAAGGCAGCACGCTTCTGACTACCCTGCTAAAGCTTACTATGGCAACGTATAGAACACAGGAGAGTCTCTGGTGGCGTCGGTCACCTGAAGAATAACGCATGTATGAAGGGGCTTTGAATACGGGGTTGCGGTTGCAGGTGTCCCGTACCCAGTCCTTGCAGTACGTCCACGCTTCCCCTTACACAGCGGGCCTCCCGGAATCCAGCCGTGAGGTACGGCGCTTTCCTCATCATTTGCTCACATAGGGGACGCATGCATGCATCATGCTGCTTGCTGCCCTGTGGCGACTCGAACGATAAACACACAACCCCCTAAAAATAAAAATTTTCGCTACTGAGGGTGGGATTGGTGTTATCGGTTTAGTTAGTGCCCAGGATTCGCAGGGGACTAGTGCCTCGCAGAACCGTATGAGGACTGCGTTCTACGATGCTCCTAAGGGATATACCGGTTATAGCTTCGCTATTAGACCGATGTTATGGGTGCGTCAGCGTTGCCTGACTTAGTTCTGAGTATCGAGATGAGAAGCTCTAAGTATCGAGATGATTAGCGACAGGGAAGGTAACGGGAAAGCTCAAGCTGTACGACCTCGAGGCCAAGCTATCTTGCTTTGGTATCACTTACTCTTGACGAGAAGGATAAGCTTAAGAACACAGGTTCTTTCCTATTGCGGGTACGCTATGTAACTTAGCGTAGATCGGTAGTTGAGATGTGGGAATGGCGACTATAAGCGTAGTTGCTTAACACATCCTTAGGCTGCTTCTTCGGCAGGATTAAGGAGTCTTGGAGACGATTACTCTTGTTCCTTCAAGAGCAGGGAGAAAGGGAGGGGGTTAAGGCTGTGGCTGGTTTGCCTTGGGCCTTGCTTGAGACAGGGAAACCGGGGAAACCGAAAGTAGGGTTCGTCTGTCGTTACAGAGTATCGAACCGGAGACCTTAAGGAGTCGTTGAAGGGCCAGAAAGGTTTGTTGTACCAGTGACCTTAGACTGTTGTAACCTCTTATGGGTGCCACTTTTTTAAGCTAGAAAATGCCTCGCCTTTTATACTAATCGGAAGCCTGTCAACGTAATGCAACTCCTAAACAACGTAATGCAGCTTCTCAGATCGAACCTTCCACAAAGAAGCCGCTAAGAAGCTGAAGCTACAAAGAAGGTGCGTAAACCTCCTTACGTAATCTAAGTAAAAAGGCATAAAAGGCCTAATCAAAATAAGACGCATAAACGCCTCAGAAATTCCAAAAGCAAAGCACGTGGCCCGTTATCAGTTATACGACTGTACTACCTTAACCGTACAAGCGTCGCGGCAACAAAGTAAATGCATCAACTCAGCTCAGCCCGAAGGTCTGCCTGAATGTTACTAACAAAAGCCGCAGCTTCGACCAGAACTTCGCGACGACTGTTATTGTTGGACCGCACTTCATGCCAAATGCCTACAACAAAACAACATTGCATCGTATTGTCGCATATCATTCCTCTTAACCATCCTGTAATCCAATTTCCACCAACAGTATCTTCCGTCGGAAGCATCTACTTGCATCGGCTAGCAAACAAAACCACTATTCAACTCTGCCAGCCCTCGCGACCAAAACCATATATCCTGCTTCCAATTAGACTAAAGCCTACGCCACAGCTGTGGCGACTACCCCACACTGAAAATTCGTACGCCCTCGTACGGCGCAGCCTAAGGGGTGTCGTGGGACAGCTAATTCACTACTAACTGCACGATTCTTGGACCCTTGAAAGCCTTCGGAACTTGGTAATCTTGATCTTGTCCGTTGTCAGGATGACTTGGTTTGACGGTGTAACGTTTTACCCGTACTGTTGAAATGAAGACGATGGGCTAGTTGTAAGTGACCCGTGGGTCATCAATGTAGGCGAAGGCTGCTCTACTGCCTTTATACGTTCCGAACACGCAGAACAACCGTAAGACGGGAGCAAATTGTTGTTATGTTTGCTTCGCATGCCACCCCACACTGATTCGAGACATCAGGGTGCTAGGCAGCTAAGAAGTAGCTGGTGGGTGCCATAGTAATCTGCTTCTTGGATGTTGAACGAAGGTAGTAACAACCCATGCGGCTGCCTAGAAAGCACTGTGGTGTACGGCAATGTCACCGTAGGCCGAGGGAAAGGGGTATTACCAGAAGGCAAATGCTCTGCAGGTGAGGGATGGCTGGAAGAATTCTCAGGCACGTACATGTCATCTAAAGCTGTAGAAGTGGAACGGCGGGCAGTGCCTGAGACCTTGTTAGCAAGCTCATGCTCAGAGCCCGTACTTGATGGCTGGTTGGCAGGCGGCGGCTCGCCAACAGAGGACAAAGCCAGACATAGCTGAATAGGACTGCTGCCGCTGATCGGACTTGTAATGCTTGCTGAAGATCAGGCGGTGCTGTAGGTAACGTGCGCACCGGAGACTGGCATAGACAGTAGTGCGTCTTGGGGGGTGAAGTAGTAGGGTGCCGAGAGGAAAGCCTCAGAAGTATCCGTACGGCAGATTGCAAACTGACTGGTAAGACGGTTGACAACAGCAGGAAGGTCTTAATGGAAGGGTCTGCATCAATGTCGGATGAGGACAAAGGAAGAATTTCTGCGTAGTCCTGCAGCATATGGTTAATACTGCGCTTGCGGTTAGATTGGGGTCGCTTGATAGCGGCTTCTGGGACAATTGGAGCTTGTGTCGAGACGGAGGGACCGGAGGTTATGACACGAGCGGGGGCAAGAGGCCGAACTGCCGGCGCGGTATTTCGTATTCCCTCACTGGTAGACGGAGCGACCTGTCGCACCTCGGGCACTGCAACTTGATTGGTGGCCGCACTAGGAGTAGGGCCTTGCATAACTGGGCCTCCAAGGGGCATTGGGAGGATCGGACGTATGGGAACCAAATTGATGGGGCTCGGAAAACCAGCCATACCAAGCGGGGTTGGCGGAGGCACAGGCATGCGCCCGGGGTTTGCTGCAGGCGGATTTGCCGGAACCAAAGCCCGCTGTCGTTCTCGTGGAGGGTTGGCGGGGTTAGACAAACCTGCCGTAGCCCGAGTCGAGTGAATAACTCCTACCGGTGCTAAATCAGCAGGGGGCCATTCCGGAAGGGAATCCCACATGCCGTCCGTTAAAAGTAGTTGTACTAGCTGCTGCAGCTCGGTATGATATGGGTCATCATAAGAGTCCTCTTCGGGTAGAACAAAGTCAGCAGGGCCGCTGACCGGGCTGAATTCTCCTGCCACTAGATGTCCTAGCCTGCTAAGACCATCCACGTTGCTGTTGCGTCGGCCGGCCTTATGCATAACATCAAAGTCATAGGCCTGAAGGCGTAGGGCGTATCTTGCTAACTTGCCATGTAGATCCCGTACGCTCGCTGTACGTAAGTAGCGCACTGCCGTGGAATCCGTAATCAGGGTGAAGTGCGTTCCGTAAAGGTAAGGGTGGAAATGTTTTACCGCCCAAACTGCTGCGTAGGCCTCCCCGTCGGCGCTGCTCCAATTAAGCTGGGGGCCGGAGGTAGCCTTACTCGCAAACTGCACAGCGTATTCTATGCCGTGACCATCCCGTTGTGCAAGGCAGGCTGCCACTGCGGTACGGCACCAATCGACTTGTAGTAGAAAAGGACGAGAGAAGTCAGGAGCGCGAAGGATAGGCTCGCTGAGAAGGGTGCTGCGCAGCTCTTGGAAAGCTGCTTCTTCCGCTGTCGTCCACCTCCAAGGCGTATTCTGACGAAGCAGAGCGTGTAGCGGCTGAGCGATGAGGCTAAACCCCGGAATCATATTGCGATAATAGCCAATGGCTCCTAACCATGCCCGTACTTCTCGTACATTGCGGGGCGAAGGGAGCTGGGCTATATTGGCTACGTTCTTAGGGTTTGGACCTATAGTCCCGTTCTCTCCATCCAGTAAGTGTCCAAGAAACACCACCTTACTTTTCCCAAACTCGCATTTGCTGGCAGAAACCTTGAGACCCGCCATGCGCAGTAGGTCTAGGACTTGCTGCAAGTGACGTACGTGCGTCTCAATGTCGGGGCTGAAAACCAGAATGTCGTCCAAATACACCACTACGCATCGCTGTCTCCATGCATGAGGGGATTGAGAGGGGGTCTCATCCAGAAGCGGGCCCAAAACTCGGCGCATGAGGGCGGCGAAGACGGCTGCGGCGCCCTTGAGTCCCATGGGCATGCGCACGTACTGATACTGAGCCGTTGGGGTTGCGAACGCAGTCCGCTCCTTGGAGGCTTCATCGGCTAGAGGTACTTGCCAATAACCGGATTTGAGGTCGATAGCTGAAAAGATACGGGTAGAGCCGGCTGGAGGGGCTACGCTGTCTAATAAATCCTGGATATTTCCCAAGGGGTACCGAATGGCCTTGGTGACATCATTCACCCGCCGCATATCCACACAGGGACGGAGTTCCCCGTTCTTCTTGGGTACCACCACCACCGGCGAAACCCATGGGCTGCTGGAAGGTTCGATGATACCTTCTGCTAGCATCTTGTTCATTTCTTCATCAACAGCGGCTTTTTCTGCCCTTGAAAGACGGTAGGGTTGCTGCGCAATGGGGGCAGCATCTCCGGTATCTATCTTCATGGCGGCCCACGTAGTCACGCCAAGCTCTCGGTTGGTGAGGGCGAACATATCAAACTCATCCAGCAAGCATGAAGTTAGAAGCTGCCTATCCTCTTCAGGCAATTCTGGGTTAATCTTCCCCAGTAGTGCCTTCTTATGTTCCTCACTGGGCTCCCTTGGTTCTCGTACGGCACGGGCTAATACACCCCGCAGCCGTGCCTCTTCCAAGTGTCCGTCATGGTTCTTGCCGTCGGGCGGTGCAGCTGGGGCCAGGGTTGTCACCTTGTTGGCCGTAGGTGTTGCATGCGCCTCGGTCGCTGAGACCAGTGCTTCTAGCTGAATCACTCCCGGGGTACGGGGCTTAGGTTCTATTAATCCAGTAGGGGGTAGGTCTGGTTCCTCCCTAGGGGGAATATCCGACAGTTCACTACCGAAAGAGGGAAAAGGAGAGAGCGTGATAGGTAGCTGGGGAGCTTCATCAAAGCTAACCTCCTCCTCAGGTCCAAGGGACGTATACGATGGAGTCCCGGTAGCCATGCAAGACTGATTATCGGTGCTGTTTCCATCACCATCCTCGCTGCTAACCCATCCCTTAACGGTCCAATCTCCATCCCAACCTGGGGTCCACCAATCTACAGGATTCGCTTCCTCGGGAACGGGAGCCAGTCCTCCCTCATCCTCATCCGGATACGCTTCATCCATGCTTCCCTGGTTCGCAGTTCCTAGCAACACGTCTACCGCTGCTGGTGCATCACCCACCCCACACTGAGGTGAGACTCCATGTGAGGGGTCCAGCGAAGGGTTAGTGACGGGTTGCGGGATTGTTGGCGCTGCTTCCGATAGTACGGAGGGTCTTGAATCGCCTGGATCTGATTCGTCCGATAGGAGCTCGGGGCACACTAAGTCGGGGGAAGAAACGGCATCGCACGGGTATACATCCTCAGCCATTAGCATGGTGGGATTAGCTGGGCGTGTGGTGATGTGGGTTAAGCTGGTTGGCGATGGGACTGAAGTAAAGTATGGTCCTCGGAGGAAATTGATAGGAATAGCGCTCCGTTCATTCTTATCGTTGGTATACTCTAACTGATTGCTATCATATGACACGCTTGCCCGGATGGGGTAAAGGAAGTCGGTGCCTAGAAGAAGATGATAGTTAAGGGCCATGCTGACGTACGGGTCTAGCAGTACGGCTAGATCTTCCGTAGATACTTGCAAGTTCCTGGCTTTGCCTGCCGCCTTGCCCTTCTTGCCATCTGCATTCAAGAAAGTGACGTCGGCATACTCCACCGTATCCAACAGGTCAAGCCGGCGCAAGGTATCCCGGGTGATAACGCTGTGGGAGGCCCCTGTATCGATAACAGCAGGTATGGGAACCTGTTCGCCTTGGGCGTTGGTGAGGAAAACGGTTGCCTTACAGACTTGCCACCTATGTGAGGGTGGGTCAGTCGCGAAAATGGGCTCAGCGCGGAGCTCATTAGGAAGCCTGGCGGTGCCTTGATTGATAGGTTGGCCCGCTGGAGCTGCCTCGGGTCTCCCGCCGGCATGCTGTCGTGCTATACCCAAAACCCTACTGCCTATCTTGGTGTAGATGCTAACAGGGTTGCAGCGCAGAGTAGTTCCGAGGGGTACGGAGTACTTGTTAACCTTGCTAACAATCTCCTCGGCGATGCGCCTCTCCTCCTCTTGTGGATCCGCAGGGATAGGATCAGTACGGCCCGTGGGCTCACCAGGCTGGCGTCTTGGGCGATAAGCGGCAGCACGGTCAACAGCAGGGCGTGCAGCGGGTGCTTGTTGACGTTGCTGAAACGGGGCCGGTGCCGCCGGTACTGCCGTTGTTCCAGGAGCATGCTGCTGTGATGGGGGTACGTAAGCGCGCTGAGCTGCAGGCCTGTTTGGCGGTGCTGGGGAAGGAGGTGTTACCGGGACACGCTTCCTAGGGAGGGGTACTGCGTCAAAATCAGCTACCCTCTTCACATAGGCTTCAGGGATATACATGCATTCTGGGGTATCATCCTCCTCTTCGGACTGTACATCAACTAAATGAGCGGGCTGATCGACTTGTTGAGTCGGTGAATAGTAGTGTGCTTGAGGATTTCCTTCTACTAGCAGGGTTAGACGGGCTAACTGCTTAGTAATGTTATCTATCTGGGATTGCGAAGGGGTATCAGGGGTAGCGTTGGATGGGTGATTATCCCGCTGAGCGTCTCCTGGATGCCTAGGACTCATGCCCCTGTTAGGCATACGTTCTGGAGGTCCGCGTTGCCTAAATGGGGGTGCATTACCCATCCGGTCAGGACGGAAGGGACGGCGGTCCTCAAAGTCGCGGCGTTGAGGGGGCGTCAGGAATTGGGGTGCCGTGGCTACAGGAGTGGTTGCGTGCATGGACTTAGGGTCTACTAAGTTCCTCTTTACGCCTTCACTGATGTAAATGGCATCCTTAATAGCGTTTTCTAGGGAGGAGGGCTTCATCAAATACACTTGGCCGTGGATTTCCGGAGCTAGCCCGTTCAAGAAGTTATACATGTGTATAAGATCAGTGGAAAGATCGATGCCCAACTGTGCCGCTAGGTTGCGGTACCGGTCGGCGTAGTCTCGTACCGATTCCTGGCGTTCTTGCCTGCAGCCGGTTAGCTTACTATAGAGCTCTTCCTTGTCTACAGCAAACCTCTCTATGAATGCAGTTCGAAATGTAGGCCAGGTATTCACCGTTGATTCGACACCGGTATACCAAACGGATGCATCATCGCCTAGCCGGCATACGGCTACATCCAGTTTGTCTTGGTCAGACCAGTTGTACATACGGGCAAACCGTTCTAGCTTAGCTACCCATTGCCAGGCGTTATCTCCTTGACGAAAGTTGGGGATAGTACTAATACTCGAAGGGTGAAGGGCCGGGGCTGCATTAGCGTCGCGACCTGCCATGATTCCTGTTAGATTTAGAGGGGCTTAGAGGGTATTCCCGTTAGGGGCTACTAGACCTCAAGCGAGAACCTGGTCTCGATACCACGAACGATAAACACACAACCCCCTAAAAATAAAAATTTTCGCTACTGAGGGTGGGATTGGTGTTATCGGTTTAGTTAGTGCCCAGGATTCGCAGGGGACTAGTGCCTCGCAGAACCGTATGAGGACTGCGTTCTACGATGCTCCTAAGGGATATACCGGTTATAGCTTCGCTATTAGACCGATGTTATGGGTGCGTCAGCGTTGCCTGACTTAGTTCTGAGTATCGAGATGAGAAGCTCTAAGTATCGAGATGATTAGCGACAGGGAAGGTAACGGGAAAGCTCAAGCTGTACGACCTCGAGGCCAAGCTATCTTGCTTTGGTATCACTTACTCTTGACGAGAAGGATAAGCTTAAGAACACAGGTTCTTTCCTATTGCGGGTACGCTATGTAACTTAGCGTAGATCGGTAGTTGAGATGTGGGAATGGCGACTATAAGCGTAGTTGCTTAACACATCCTTAGGCTGCTTCTTCGGCAGGATTAAGGAGTCTTGGAGACGATTACTCTTGTTCCTTCAAGAGCAGGGAGAAAGGGAGGGGGTTAAGGCTGTGGCTGGTTTGCCTTGGGCCTTGCTTGAGACAGGGAAACCGGGGAAACCGAAAGTAGGGTTCGTCTGTCGTTACAGAGTATCGAACCGGAGACCTTAAGGAGTCGTTGAAGGGCCAGAAAGGTTTGTTGTACCAGTGACCTTAGACTGTTGTAACCTCTTATGGGTGCCACTTTTTTAAGCTAGAAAATGCCTCGCCTTTTATACTAATCGGAAGCCTGTCAACGTAATGCAACTCCTAAACAACGTAATGCAGCTTCTCAGATCGAACCTTCCACAAAGAAGCCGCTAAGAAGCTGAAGCTACAAAGAAGGTGCGTAAACCTCCTTACGTAATCTAAGTAAAAAGGCATAAAAGGCCTAATCAAAATAAGACGCATAAACGCCTCAGAAATTCCAAAAGCAAAGCACGTGGCCCGTTATCAGTTATACGACTGTACTACCTTAACCGTACAAGCGTCGCGGCAACAAAGTAAATGCATCAACTCAGCTCAGCCCGAAGGTCTGCCTGAATGTTACTAACAAAAGCCGCAGCTTCGACCAGAACTTCGCGACGACTGTTATTGTTGGACCGCACTTCATGCCAAATGCCTACAACAAAACAACATTGCATCGTATTGTCGCATATCATTCCTCTTAACCATCCTGTAATCCAATTTCCACCAACAGTATCTTCCGTCGGAAGCATCTACTTGCATCGGCTAGCAAACAAAACCACTATTCAACTCTGCCAGCCCTCGCGACCAAAACCATATATCCTGCTTCCAATTAGACTAAAGCCTACGCCACAGCCCTTATGCTCAGCACCCAGGGGGGACTGGCTGCTGCGGTGAAGGTGCGCTGACCCCACAACTTTATGGGAGTGAAGTGAGGGGTCAATATTCACGGTGCCTATCGGGCAAGTGCCGTAACTGCTCGAGCGTATGGAGACCCTAATCAGGCAATGGAGCACGTAATGTGTCCTTTCCTGCCTAGCTAGGAATTGGGGTCTGTCTCCCTGTTAGTTGCTGTAAACACGTCTCGATCTTGATTCCTCACCACCAGGCGCTGCATTCGCGACATCACGGCCGCCGCTGTCCGTCGATGTGGCCTCAGCGGGATTGCCATCGGGCTGCCAGCGCCAGTGGCCCGCAGCTACCAGTAGCCCCAACGTTGAGATGCGTGTTCATGATAAGTTACATGCAGCATTACCGCCATGCATGGCACATTGCGTGTCCTCCCATGTGGCGGCTCGCGGTTCCGTACCATACGTATCAGATTCTGCGCATTACTCACGCGCTAACCGCATGAGGAATACCAATGAAACAAGCATACACATAGTTGGCCCAATCTTTGTAGGTTAAACGCCAGCAACCAGTTGTGACTTCTTATGCCCCCAGTAGTTTGTGGCGGCCAATCCTTGAGATAGCAATGGCCGTGACCTGCTCAACAACACGTATTCTCATATGGAGCTTATGGGCATTTACTGCGGTGAGGCTAGCGTTGATAGGAAAGGTTACTCGCGTACGTTGTCGCCAAGAACACTTGCGTAACACAGTGCTCGACCGGCTGCAGCTTGCTTCCGTCGCCTACATGGCAGTTAGCATAGTTACATTCGTCAACATTGTAAAGGTTCGTATAGCGTTGTCCTGCCGCATGTTCACCATAACTACAGATTTTACTGAGCCCCGGTGCCGACATGCAGGGGGTAAAAGATGGCTACATCATGGAGTATTATATGGATGGGGCTCATGTAAAATCTCGGATCCCGGTATGTTACCTGGGCGGGCGGCGCCATGTAACCCTGCCCGGCGAGGCCGCGACGAGGGCAAAACTTGTTTGGAATTCCTGCAGGCTTATAAAAATGGACTACTTTCTTCTTGCATGCTCGGCTTCTTAATGGCCTTATTCTGGGTAATCTTCAGCTTCTTTGTTTTGCTTCGGTAGGCGAAATTTTCGGTGTGTTGCTCGCTAGACCCTCACACTTGGCCCAATGCCCTTATTGTGCCCAAAACAGAGAGTATCTCTATGTTGATGTGTCTGCGAAACGTCTTTCGTGTTGCCTGTTGAAGCTCATGCATCATGCATAAGCGCATGCGTAAAGCCGGCAACCATGTCCCTTAGCTCTTCCTAGCGGCACCAAAGCGCTTGTGGCAAATGCATCCTTGCTTTGAACTTTTGGTTGTACCGGTACCTCTTGTCCAAAGTGCCCTATATCCATGGGAATCGCGCTTGGTTAGGGCTCACCTTTTGTCTTGCGCAGGCGGGTATTCCGTAACGTATCCATGGGTTATGGGGTGCTGCTCGCCACATGCTCCCACACGGGCTGCTTCATGCTGCTGGCAGGGCTCATGCTGAACTCCCAGAAGAGGGTAGCTTCAGATCTTCAGGTACGTAGTGTTTTCACACACTACGACATGATCACATCAAGGATTTCCTGTTGGATGTGATGCACCTTCCTGCTTATGGCATGCTTGCATTTGCCTGCGTTAGGCCTTACCTGCGGATGAGATAAGCTCAAAGCGACCGTTCCTATACGTTTATACACACTTGCGTTTCGCTTCCATTGCCGGCAGAATTACGCGTTCTGGGGTGCCAGCGGCTATCACATCTACGTGACTACCTTCGCTTTCAACTACTTCCTCACAGCCCTGTATTTTGTCAACTTCCTAGTTCTGCTTGGAACCTCGAACACTATGATGACACAGAAGTCGGACCGGGGTAAGTAAGCGTTTGCAGCCTTTGTTGAAAGGGACGGAATGTTTTGGCGCGGAGGAATATGGGAGTCTGTACGTACACACCAGCAGCCGGGATAGATGTATGGGCAACCCACGTGAAGTTTCTTCATGCCACGATGTCAGACGCTGGGGTGTACGGCACTGTTGCAATCTGGGCACGCCAGCTTGAACCCCGCATGCACCCTGGTCAGCCACGTCATTAGTCACACGTTTGCCGTACACCTAACATGCATGCACATGCCGTGCCAACTGCTTCACAATCCCCACTGGCCCATTCGTCCACACGTGCCTCACCCATGCCTCAATCGTCGACTCACGTCCCTGTCACGTGCTCCCTTCCTTTCCCATCTCCTGCCAACACCCCTCACCAGGTGCTACCTACGCGGCGTCACCGCCGCCTGCTAGCGTGACACCCACGATGAGCCCCACAGCTGCCCTTGAGCTGCCTAGCGGCGTATGGGGCAACTCCTACCAAGGGGGTGCCGTTTGAGCTTGACTCGCACCTAGCTAGCAGGAGTGCCGCACCGTTGGTCTGGATGACGACAGTGCGTACGGAGCGGGAGGATCGGAACTCACCTGGTGGGAGGCTGATGGTATGGCTCGGTTGGGGCTTGGGAGGCTGTTGGGTCCCAAAAAGGGCGGCAAACTTTGCCCTTTGGGGTGTTCAAGCGGCCGCTTGTGATGTGCTCCGTTGTGTCTCTTTTGGTACTGGCGTTTGCTCTTACCTTCCGTGTATGAGTGGAGGAAGTTTGAGGAAGATAGCCACACCATTTTTATCGTGAAAGTGCGTTGCAATGAGAAATGAAGACTCCATTTATTAGGGGCTGCAGAAGAGAGGAAGGGAGGTTACGGGTGTGCCCTGCGGCCAGTGCTGTTTGGGCTTTGCAACTTTGCAAAGCATAGTACTTTGTCACATTTGGTGTCTGAGGCAGTCGGAGGCGGAAAAATAAGTTCTGCGGCCCTAGTCCATGTGGGGTTTGATTGGCTACTTGGTGTGTACGGCAGCTCATGTATGATTGGTACTTTGGCATCTGCTAAAACAGCAATCTCTTGTATGTTTGTGAAAGCATTGTGCTTTATTCTTTACTATCGATGCGCCTCTTTAAGCAGCCCAAGGTGTGCTAAATACGTAACGCCGAGCTTGGGAGCAACTGCTGAAGCTTCGATGGTGTTTGGCGTGGAATAGTTGACTGCACGTGATACCGGTAGTGCGTCCCAGTTGCAACGTGCAGCATATCTTGGCGTGGAATGCCCCACCATGTGGTGGCTGTATGTTGGGTTTCGCCTGCTGCTGCTGCTGCTGCTGCTGCTAGTGGTGATGATGATGATGATGATGATGATGATAATGATGATAATGATGAATGCCATGTCCCGGTTGACCAACATATGGAGAATATTGCGAGTTTGCAACGTACCATGCCTTCTCCGGCATGCTCCCTTCGCAAGAATTTTGAGCTGCGGTGTTGCCATCCTGCCTTGTGTGATCCTTGTGAAGGAGACGGCGTTCGGCATAGCCTGTCGCATTATTTTTGCCCTTCGCAAGCCGAGGGGTGCTTGCCCGGACAACCCATACACCACCAATGCGTGCATCATTGGTTGTGGCTGGCACGCCTCGCAATGTATCCTCTACAGCGTGCGAGCACTATCTGGCAACTGGTGCAGGGGGCACCGAGTGAATTAAAGCTGACAGAGTCCGAGCGACTGAGGCACACGCTTCTTGGGGCACATGTATGCTGATAGCGCCGCTCCGTTGGGAAGGTTACGCCGATTGCATGGTAACGATGATTTACTGCTCACCCACAGGGGTTTAAGTTGTTACAGACGCTGAAAGGCCGCATCGGCACAACATAACCAAAGTGATCGGAGAAGGGTCGGACATGACAGGACGCCGCTGGCGTACCTGAATCTAGAATCAGCCGCAACAAGAAACCGGCTGCAAAAGGTACCCATATGTTCCTATCATTATAAGAAAACGCTCGCTTGCAACCTATGACAAGCACCGTACAGCCTTGTACGGCTGCGTTGCCTGGTAACCCTGCATATTAACATTCCCAGCAAACGAAACAGTTTGGCTCCTAGCTTATGTGCTGCTCAGTTGCAAAGAGCCTAATGGTTATAAACAGTTTAAATAGCAAAACCACAGTACTATTAGTAGGTAGAGTTTCGCACTTAGGCTGACTCGGGAAATGCTGGCTTGCAGAACTTTGTACTGCTCACACATTCAGCTAGGTGTAGGGAATCAACCAATAACAAAGCTTCTCTTATTGGTGCCAACTTTCGTCATGATATGACTTTATGGACGATCTTAGCGCTCTTATAGCGCCTGGAGACACAGCAGAAGCCTACATGACTTAAAGGCTGCAGCCCGCCCAGCCATGCATGCTGACGAGCACGGAACCGACACCGGCTTTAGGCTAGCGCCAAATGTGCGCCAAAAGTTTCTTGTGGTTGGTGCTGGAGTAGCTGGTCTGCAGGTTGCAAGGCAGCTGCTAAAGCTAAACCGACAGGTGCAGGCCTATAGATTCCTCGCTGCGTCAGCTGCCTGGGCACCAATGCCTGGAACGCTGCAACCTAGCTTTTACCTGCTTTTATTGTAACTTTTGCAGGTCCTGGTTATCGAGGCATCGTCCGCCATTGGTGGGGTTTGGAGTGCAAATTATGTCGGCTACGGCCTTCAAGGCAAGCGAACCTGGGTTTACCCATGAGTGAGAAATTCATTTCCTTTGAAGCACGTTAACGTTCGTGTATATCTGAGCCTAAGCGAAAGAGCTTCCCCCCCACAGCTGTTGCACCCACGTTGGGGAACATCCCCGTGTCACTTGGGACGAATACTATCAGCCATGGCTTGCCAATCGGCATCTAACTTCGGCAAATCTGTCTATGCAGTTCCATGGCGCCTGTACCAGTTTCCTGACTTCCTGTGGCCTAAGCATCTCCAGCCTGCTGATGAGTTCCCCACCGGAGAGGCGGTGCTGGGATACATCAATGCATACGCTGAGCATTTCGGGCTAAGGCGCCATATACGCTTCAACTGTAAGCTGCTGCGCCTGCGATGCAGCCCGGACAATCGCACCTGGGAAGCCCTGTACTGCGACACAGTGCAGGAGAAGTTCTTCAAGGTAGGGCAGGGCGGTTACAACATTACATACAAACGCAAAGCTGCAGATCACCAAGCCTTAAAGCTGTCGCTGCAGCCCTGAAAGTTTGAGCGTCTGCATACTCCCCAAATGATAGACGCACGGGTTAGCACGGACACGCCGTCGTCTCCATTGAGCACTGGTGCCTTGCCTCCTTACGACAGAAGTTGACGACAGCCCTGGACACTCTTTCGGAATGCATTCTGATACCATTCCTCGCCCCATCCCCCATGTGCGGCCTGTCAGGTTACCGTTGACTACGTAATCATCTGCACCGGCATCTACAGCAACCCCTACATCCCGAGCTACACGGTGCGTGCGCATTTGGGGGCCCGGCGGGCACCCGCAAGGTTTGGCACGTAACAGGTTGCGCAGTTCCTACCATACCCCACCTGTGTTACCTACGGCTTAAAAAACAAAACTTGTTACATACTGTAAGCACCCAGCCTCTCTCGACCAGTTCTCCTGCCCTCCACATGACCGTTACCCCTCCATCCTGGCTCCTTCCTTACCCTTCTCTACCCCTGCAATCCCCCCTCCCTCTACGCCTCTACGCCCGTTGTTTCACATATTTAATGTTTTCCTCCCTCTACGCCTCCTCACACACCTCTTTACGCGCCCCAGGGCACGGAGAACTTTGCGGGCACGCAGCTGCACGCCCGGGACTTTGAGGACTTGTCCATGGTCCGCGGGCGCCGCGTCCTCATTGTGGGTGCTGGCAAGACCGCCCTCGACTGCGTGAGCGGCCTGGTGGCCAGCCGCACCGCAGCCTCCGTGACGCTGCTCTATCGCCAGGCTCACTGGCCGCTGCCGCGTCGCGTGCTGGGCGTCTCCATCCGCAACCTCTTTTTCAACCGTACCGTAACGGCGATGTTGCCGCCGTACTATACGGCAGGGCGGGCGGAGCATGCCATGGCGGTGGCGGCGGCGCCGTTGAAGCGGCTGTTTTGGGCGACCCTGGAGGTGGGTAATGTGTTTAGGAATGTTTGGAACGGACTTTGGAGGTGTGGGGAAAAATAAATAAGTGAAACAACGAGTCCCAATCCCATTGGAGGTGTGGGGCGGTACCGGTAGCAGCCGGCAGCATGCTGCTGCGTTGCTCAGGAAGGCCAGACGAGGAGGCCTGGAAGTTAGGGTACATGAGGCAACTGCACGTGTTACAGCCGGCTTGGCTTAAAGGATACCGGTAAGCCACCACAAAAGCGATGCATTCGAGTGCTGGCATCCTTGCAAGGGATTCTCGTCATGCCCACCGCGGAACTCGTCTCACGCAGCCCTTCCCCTTCCCGTTCCTGCCTTCCCCCCCTTCCAGTGCGCGATCAAGCGCAAGTTCAAGATCACGGAGAAGCTGCGACCGCGTGTGGGACTGCCGGCGGACATCTTTTACGGCGGTCAGGTCCTGGATGACCGCATGGACGAGCTCATGGAGTGCGAGGAGCTAGCCACGGTCAAGGGTGGGTGCTGAACTGCTTGAGATGTCGCTTTGGAGGCTTGGGTTTTCTGGAATCCTGGATATCTTGTATGGGCCATTTAAGAGCTAGCACGGGGCTGACAACGCGATTACGTGTTGTGCTTCGGCGATGGGTGCCCTGGACTGTACCTCTTGACTGCCGGCGGTATGTCTAATGCTGCGCAGGCGAAATCAACTGTTTCGTGCGCAACGGAGTCATCCTGCAGGTGAGCCCGGGTGGATTTGGGTGTGCGGGCTCGCCTTGGCTGTGGATGTTGCTTCAGGAACGCAATCTTTGCTGCATGTGCACACACGGGCCTCTGACAAATGCGTACATCCCTTCCGGCCCGGGACTGTGCATGTTCTGAACCGCAGGACGGCACGTTCCTCCCAGCTGACCTCGTACTGTACTGCACTGGGTACGAGAAGACGTACGACTTTTTTGACAGTGACGTACGCATCCGGCTTGGGCTTCAGAAGGACGGGCTGTACCTGTACCGCAGCTGCGTGGCGCCCCATGTGCCCCACCTGGCGTTCGTGGGAAGTGAGGTGAGGGCGGCGGGGCGGCGTTTAAATCGCTCCTTGCACCTTCAAACACGACTCTGGGTGTCCCTCATGGGGTCATGCAAAGGCGAAGGTGCATGAAGTGTTTAGTACCCGGTCCTTGAATTATGGGGTTGCCTCCCAAGTATGTATCTGTCGAGGCAATCGTGGCTATGGCAAAGGTGTTTTTGATTCACAAGCTCTGACGCTCCCGCCCTACGGATTGTGCGCCGCAGATCAGCACCTACAACAACATCCTCACGCACGGACTGCAGGTATGCAATGGGGGTGCCTGCATGCATCTCTCGGTGACTATCGATGCCCCATGCGTTGAATCCTCTTCACTGCTGCCACGCGTGTCGCTTGAGAGCAGAACCTGTCCGCATGCATGTCCGAACCATTGCAATACACGTATGGGTCATTGCCCTCGGTAAGCCGTCAAGTCTTCGACGCCACTTATCCCGTATGAAACTAACACCCTATCCATGTCGCGTCCTCTTTCGACCCGCAGGCTCTGTGGTTGGCGCACGTGTTGACGGGGCGGGTGCAGCTGCCGTCGCCCGCAGACATGGTGGCGGACATCCGCGCGCAGCAGCGGTGGCGGCGCAAGGTGATGCCGCCACAGCGGACGCGCGGCGCCGTCATGATGCTGTACGGCATCCAGTACCACGATCAGGTGTGTGGGGGTGGGAGGACAAAAATACCATGCGATTACGGAATGTGGGGAAGGGGGCTTGTGAGCCTTGGTAGGTGTGGGCTAACAGTGCAATCGTTTCCTGCATCGGCTGCATGCCGCATAACCTGGTTAGGGAGAGGTGTTTGGGCAGCATGGCGCGTGTCGCTCAACCTCGCATGAGATGTTAACACGTCGGATGACCCGCTGCACCGACCGCCCACGCAAGGTATTCCCAAATTATTTTGTGAATTTAAGGTAAAAAAATTATATAAAAATATAATTTTGAAACCATGTCTTACCACCATTTCCTTGCTACCGGTATCTTTCCTTTCCCCGGCTTGCAGTTGCTCCTTGACATGGGCCAGAAGCCGCATCGCAAGGGCGCCAACCTGCTGGGGGAGTGCTTTGGAGCCTACTCGGCGGAGGATTACGCGCCGGTGGTGAAGCAGTTGGGCGAGGCTCTTGTCGCCGCGCAACGCGCCCAGGAGCAGCTCAACCGCGCTGCATCTGGAAGCGTCAGCAGGCCCGGCGCCGTCCTGTCCCAAGCAGCACAACACATGGCAGCGCGGGCTGCATCGGCTCCGGGTACCGAAGCGGCAGCAGCTGCTGCTTCAAATGCTCCCGCAGTAGCAGCAGTACCGTCAGAAAGATCCTCCCCCGGGGCTGCGAACGCTGCCGCTTATCATTCGCGCCGAGCGGCGGCGGCGCGCGCGTTTGGAATGGACGACATGGCGGCTGTTACGACGGACCTGAGCGACGCAACCACCACGACGACCTCAGCATTCACCTGGTTGGAGGCGCTACACAGGAGCGACGGCGGGGCCAGCCCGGAGCCTGGGTCGGGGTTGGTAGGGGGGCCCGCACGGCCATGTGCAGGACCCGGCGGATGGCGCGGCGGCTCGGGAGGCGGCGGCTCCTGGCAAATGATGCCGTCCGGAGCTCCGACTTGGACGCCCAGTGCGAGTGCGAGTGTGAGTGGGACCGTGACGACGGGGCGGGAGGACCGGACGACACCGTCCATGGGGGGCATGCGGTGGTCAGCATCCTCCCCGCGCAGCTCCATACTTGGGGGTATCTACCACTCGGGTACCACGCTGCGGAGTGACCCACGCACCAGTGCTGGCACTACTGCTTCTGTTGTTGCGGCGGCGGCTCTGCGGCAGCAGCCTTCCATTGGAGCCGCCAGTGCGGCGGATGTTGATGTTGCGAGCAATGCTACGGGGGCGGCAGCAGAGGCGTGTAGCTCATCTGCAACACTTCCCGGGTATGGCAAGACGTCATGGGACTCGAACTCGGCCCGCTTGATGCACGCTAGGGGCTCGGCGGGTGAGGCGCACGCAGGTGCATCTGGACCGCGGTTTCGTCCGGTTTCGGGGGCGTTTTGGGCAAAGGGTGTGGGCAGACGGAAACAGGGTCCTTCACCAGACCAGCCTTCCTTGGCCGAGGAGCTGGAAGCGGGAATGGTGGAGCACCCGCAGCTGCACGAAGGGGCATCGGGTGGGGAGGAGATGGCGGCGGGCGATCGTCTTCCGTCAGAGACGTCACCGTCGCCTGAGGTTACAATTGAGGTTGAGCCCAGAGCTCATTCGGTTCAATCGCCGCAGGGCGCCCTTGACCTCTTTCCCTCTCAGTCCGCTTCACGGGAGGCCTCTCTTAGCTCGAAGCCGGGGCACCCGCTCTTACAACCGATGGGCCTAGGCTGCAGGGTGGGGCTCTCCCCAGCGGGAGCAGAAATGCAGTGCTCGCCACGCGCCGCCGAGCCGTTGCCATCTGGGTGCAACGTCGAGGAAGGGTACAGGAAGGGTACGCGCAGCAGCGGCGAGGGCGAGGGCGGGCAACGGCCTACCATCCAAACGTCAGCCTCCAACACGCACATGGACAACGGCGAGGGCAGCAGTGCCCTTGTCTACGCAGGCGAGAGCATTGTCGGGCAGCTTGGGGGCTGCGCCTGCGAGCTGCCACTTTTGCTGGTGTCCCCACGTAACGCGCATGCGGACACAGGCCTAGTCAGCACCAGCACCCAAGCCCCATGCAGCCGGGCGCACTCTTGCCCAATTGGCGCTTGCAGCAGCGGTGTCTGGACCGCTCCCCCAGACTCTGGCAGCAGCAGGCATGGCTGCAGCAGCCGACAAGGTAACGACGCTGCCGGCCCCATGCGCGTGGGCGCCGGGAGTGATGGCGGTGCGCCCAGCGCTGATTTCGCCAAGGCCGGTGCCGCAGCCCAGGAAGAGCCCCAGGGGCACCTCTCAAGCAGCCGCGGTGCTGTGCATGATGGGGCAACTGAAGCGGCAAGTCTGTCCCCGCAGGCCCCTTCCAACTCGCAGACAGCATCAGGGGCAGCGCCTGCAGCTACCAGGTTCCGGGGCGAAGGCCGCCCCTTGCTTCCACCCACTGTCTCCATGCCAGCGCCTGTCATTCCGGCGTCCGTTGCGGCGTCGGGAACACCCTTTCGCCCTCGCATTGGCAGCCCGAGACGCGCCAGCCTGCTTTCCGCGGCATCCGCGGCTCATGCCGAATTCCTGCGTGGGGCTGGCAGCAGCGGTGGCATCCATGCGGCAGCGCCGGTGTCTTCAACGACAGCCGGCGTGTCTCCCGCATCGGGCTCGGAGAGCGCAGCAAGCTCGCCTGGTGCGTCGCTGTCGCTCTGGTGCGTGCCGCCACAGCATCAGCCGCTTGCTGGGGATCTAGCACGACGGCTAGCACGAGTTCGGCTATCGTACTGTGAAATGTCGCCGCAGGGCAGCGCTGCGGGTGCAAGTGGCGGTACCAGTGCGGGTGGGGATGCGGGTGCGGGGGCAGGAGCAGGCTATGCCGCCGCAGCAGTGGCCGCATCGGGTGGCAGCGCGGGATCGCTGAGGCTGAAGCCCATGCGGGTTACGGGGGTGCTGGCGGAGGCGGCAGCATGGCCGTCCTTGAAGTGAGTGGGTACTCCCTGGTTAGGTGGAACGTCCGTCCGTCCGGGGTTGCTTTGCTCTCATGGACCGGGATCCCGGTGGAGTAGGTGGCGGTAGATGGTAGTGAGGTGCTTAAACTCGCTCTGTTTAGCAGGGACCTGTCGAGACTGTCTAGCGTTTTGGGTTGTGACTTGTGCAGTGCACGTGAATTTTGTTTGTTAGGTTGCTTGTGAAACTGTGTTGGGTTTGGCCCGTGTGGTTTTGCTGGTGTTTGTTTGCTTTGGTAAAGGCTCTATCGCTGTTTTGAGGTCTTTGTGACGATGATTCCGAACAGTGGCAATGCACGCAGTGAAAACGTTGGATACGGTTTTGATGTTGTGTTTCCGGTGACGTTGTGGTGGTGTTTGCGTGTGCTGGGAGGTCGTCTTTGGTAAGCCCAACCCGTAACCCCCGCCCAGCGTGCAGAAGGCAAGGCTAGGCCTCCTGGGCCCCTAGCCGCTAGTGAGTTTCGGGCTGCTTTTGCTGCGGCAGGCACGCCCACACCAAGAGAAGAGCAGGTGTATCTAGTCATCTATCAATGTGAGGAACTGAAGCCTCTGTTTTTTACCCAAGCAAGAAGAGGTAAGGCATGGCAGCTGCTGATGGCTGGTCTTTTTTTTGAACTCAACCCGCGTGAGGCATGGTTAGTTTGCTGTGGTTGGCTATCTCCCTTCTGAACATCACCTTCCTAGATAGCCGAGGTGTGGTTCTATGCACGGTTACGTCCATCTAAAACGCGTGTTTGGACGGGCATGAGGAAGCGGCTCTGCAAGATACGGGTCAGCTTGGGGGAGATCATCTTACCGGCATACCCTCACAACGTACATTGCATGAGGCGCGTGGGTACGGGGCACGTTGCATGTCCGCCGCCCATGCATTAGTTGCCTGGTAGTCGTCGTAGATTAGCGGCGCTAGGGCTGTGCATGATTAGATTGTTGGCCCACAGGGGTTAGATAGCTACGGTGGTTGTGCCTGCTCCTGCAGGTGCATGTGTTGGCCCATGGGGAGCAGTGCAAAGTACGGTAACCAGGCGATTGCTGGGCTTACTCGAGCGCTGTGCTTTCGGTGAGGGCGAGGTTGCACTGATGCACTATTGTTTGCACACCTGATGGGTGGAGCGTTTGTCGCCAGCGTGCTTCTGGTGACTGCGGCAATGGACGCATCGAGAGTCTTTTAGCTGCGTCTGATTTTGTTCTGCACTTAGTACCTGAATGTCGTTTCAATTGTTGTGCTTGTTTGCGCCGTGGCTTGGTTTCTGTGGTAACGTGTGTGATACATGCGGGCCGCTGTGTTTTGGAGGTGCGCGTTCCATTCTCCGCGTGCGACCTTCCCATAGTCGCCGTGTCTTGGATTCGTTTGGATTCGTTTCCGTGATACTATGGGCGTTGCGACTTCCCAGTCTGTGTGTTTTCCGTCCCTGTGAGTGTGTGCTTTCATTTCATAGAGATGTTTTTGTTTTGTGTCCTAGGGTTCGGCGCCCCTGCGCAAGTACATCATGCGCCCCTTCATCCCTACCTTGCGTTGTGATGGTCATTGCAGCGCGTCAATCAGGCATTCCCCGCCAGCCCTGGATGTCGTCGTCCCGTTCCGTTGTCCTTGAAATAAAAGTTCGGACCTCTGCTTAAGGCAAGCCTACATATTTCAAACGTGTATAGTGCACATGTACCATGAAACATCCCTAATCATGGTACGGCATCCGTTTCCGATGCGTGATTTCGCGCTGCTAGTCTGGTACTTCTCCTTGCAGTCACCCGCGGCTTCCTCCTTTAGCATATGCGCTGTATCTTAGCAGGGCAGCGAATGAGCGAGTCATGTGCGCCGGGCATGTTGCCTAGCCAGGGAAGCGTGCTTTGAGACGTGGCCGGTGGACATTTTGCTTCAATGTGTGATTACCGGTACGCGAGGGCCTTCACCCGTTCTGGTGGGTCGTTATCTTTTGTTTGTTTTCCACGTGTCGGTCCATTTTGATTTGCATGTGCTCATGATGATCTAAATGGAGAGGCGCTTGTCGTGAGCATGCCATGCGCACCTCCCAACCAAGGGTTGGTATCCCCTTGGAACGCACGCTTTGCTTTGTGTGTGGGAAAGGAGCATATACGTCGATTAAAAGTTAACAGCTGGTGAGCATGTGTAATCATCGGCTGTTACCTGCATGACCCATCCCTAACATCAATGTAGTTGTGCATGAGCAGGCATGCTCCAGAGTCCCCGACCAGGTTTGTTTTCTTTGTCCAGCACATAAACATGCACAAGACCAGAGGCAGCCCTCTGCAGCGCTACACGGAGGAGGAATTGTTGATGGCAGTTTCACTGGCGGAGGAGGCCTCTATAGGGTAGTAGTACGTACAAAGGAAGAGTTGAGGTGGATACAGAGGAGCCCCACCACACGGACGCGTCAACACACCGTCAATACTCCTCGCGTTTTCGCGTCTTAGCACACCGTACCTAGCAATCTGCGTTGACAGGAGCGCATCTGTTAGTAAAGAAGTAAACCGTGAGGCCATCAATGCCTGTTTCCAAGGTTCAGGCTACCAGATAGACCACAGGTAAACCGCAAGAAACAAGAACATGTAAGGGTATCCTGCGGTTCACGTAAGCTAAACGTATGTACGGTCAGTACCAGCGTACTTGAAAAAACTAAACCCTCCTAGCCCAAGGCATGTGGAATCAGTATATAACAGGATAAAACCAGCGCAGCGAAATGGGCACAGCTGTGCTGATTTATGTATGTATATAAACTTAAATTCGCGCGATCCAACCATGGCCCATCTGAACCACACGCCACGAAACCTGGCAGCCGCTCAAGGCAATTTTGCAGACCGTACCAAACACTGGTACCTAGACACCTTCGTCCACGTTCTCAGTCACAACCGCGGCGCGACCAGCCTCATCGGAGAGTGCTGTGTCGTGTATCAGCAGCAAAGCATTTAGTTCCCGCGTACCCAATGGCGCATGAAAGTTGCTTCCAGTAGAGGGCATGCTAGTAACAAGTGCTACTACTGTCCTCAGCGAACGAACGAACACTACCCTCCAATGCCCTGCAACAGCAATTGCAGGATATCCCCAACGTGCATGGCGATACAGCTGAGTAATGGGAGTTCAATTGGAGGTAGCTATGAAGAAAGCCTAGACCGAGTATAAATGCACACGTGCCAATTCAAGCAATATCATGTATCCTGATTAGGATCACTGGGCCCACCGCATCCGACTGCTCCTTGTCAATATTTAAGGCGTACATCTAGCCCTCCCACAATAACAGCAACAAATCATTTGCAGCCGCTGCGCACAACAGAGAACTACCAATACCATTCCTCGAATACCGTCAACCAAAGAACGACAAACAAAGAACGACAAATCTGACCATTAACCAAACAACCTCACGCCTCACACATGTTTTCCAACCACGGGCAGAAAGCACACCGACCACTCCTTGACTCTCTTCCGCACAAACTGCGGCTCGCATTTCCACCAACGCCCGTCCTCACTCCTTGAGCTCCTGTCGTCACTCAATGCACAACAAGCAGCGGCTCTAACCGACCGTGCCCACCGTCGCCGTTGCCTTAACTGAACGTACACGTGCTTCAAGCTGGAGTGATGTCGTCGCGTGCGTGCGCCCCTGCATCCGCCGCCGCCCTCTGCTGAGCCTTCTGCTCCTGGTTCGGGGGGTCTGCGCCGGCAGGAGGCGTCTGCTGGGAACCATGTAGGGGATCCGGGCCTGAATGACCGTCTTGCGGCTCCTGCATGGGATGTGAGCCCGCCGCCTGACGGGTAACAGGGCGCAAGGATGCGGGGTGAGGACTTCAGGGGGCGGTGAAAGAGTTCGGGACGTGCAGGAACGGCTTGGTCGAGAGGTGAGAGGCGCAGGACGGCCTTATTGCGAATACTGGTTGGTTATGCCACGACGCACGTACGGTTCGTACCGGTCTGGAGTTGTTTTGCGGCAGTGATTACACATGCACGTTCGACATGCACGGGCTTTTTCCCACATGGTTCTTTGGCCCCACAAGCCCATGTCTACTTCTTGCCTCTGTCACGGCGCATCCGTGTCATACAGGTTGTACGGCATGCCCGCGTACCTGGAGTGCAACCCTGTACAGCGGGCCCCTGCCGGGTTCCACTCGTTCTCCTTTGGCGGTGTGCAGCCGCGGCCCTGCCCTGCGCTCAGCGGTAGCAGCCGTGCTGACACAAACCAGCTGGTGGGTTCCAGCGACCCCCTTGAACCTGCGGAGGGTGGGAGATCGTGGATTAAGGTACGACACAACTTGTTTGCCGTACATGAGGTCAAATACTACACGTACAGAGGACTCAGACGAAATGAGCGTGCAAAGAAGGAAGGTGTGCGGAGAAGGGTGCCATGGGCTCATGGCTATGCCGTTCGCTCGCACCTGAACACCCCAAGGTCTTCAACCAGCAGCTCCTGAGCCCACAGCCAGCGGTTGGCACCCGTACGGCGGCGGATGCATGCGTCAGGCAGGGTGGGTAGCGCGTGTGGGATGGAGTCGTACAGTACGGTTGAGGTACGGCGGATGTTGCCACGCGGGCCCCCCGAGGGCAACAAGGGGAGCTGAGACCTGGGGAGGGTACGAGGGTGAATGGCGCGTTGCTGTTAGTGGTGGCTGCGGTGGCGGTGGCGGGGTGAGGGCTATGTGTTGGTGGGGTTTAAGGTTGGTGGACCCATTACATCCCGACTTGGCACCCCTATCACAAGCTCACCCCCCCACACACCGCCACTTCATCCCTTACCTCAAACCGAGTGGGGGCCGAGGGCCGCTAACTCCGACGCCGCCGCCGACGCCTGCAACAGCTGCTTGTCCAATGTTAGCGGCACTTGTGTTCAGCCGTCTGGGAGGGAACCGGTGCTGCATGCAAGACGACCGTTCGTTGTGCCGGTCAGCTCCAGTCACGCAGCTGCCGCCTTGAGCTGCAGCGGCGGCGGCGGCGTCACGAGCACCCCTTAATGCCTCCTCCAGCTTTACTCGCATGCGGTACGGCACACTGGCTGGAGCGATGTCGTACAGTACGACATCAGCTGGTTTGACTTCCTCAACCGTAATGTCGCTACCGCTGCTAACGCCGCCGCTGCTAAGCGCATGCGTCGATGCTAGCACCACTGACGCTGGCGCCGCCGCCGCCGCCGGCATGGCAAATCCGGTTGAGGAAGCGAAGGCGCCCGACAATGCCACCGAGGCTGCCGCTGCCGTTCCTGACGCCCCCACGTAAGCCATCGAGGTCGTCGTGCGAGTTTTCAAACGCATGCGACCGCCGTCCTCGCATGAGGAGCCCGACGCTTCCGAAGGCAGCGGTGACGGAGGCGACGAAATGTCGGAAGCCACGCCGCTATCCGTTGGCGACATCTCGAACCGCCCCACGCTCAGCACCCGTGCAATCGCCGGCGCTGGCCGTATGACCAGGGAGGGTGAGGCTGGGCCCGCGCTGCCCAGGCCAATGCCGCTGCCCCCGCCTGCTGACCCACGGGCCGCTGCGATGGTGGCAAGGATGGCGGCGGTGGCGGCGGTGGCGCCGCCAGTGGAGGCCGTACGATCGTTGACTGTCGTACCAAGAGACGCCGGCCTCGGAACTACGCGGCGGCTTCTTTGCATGTGCCCCCGTCGAACGGACCTGTTAGGTCTGACGGAGGGTTCATCGCCGGCTGCCGCCACGGCAGCGCCGCCGCCGCCGCTGTTACCCCCACCTCCGCCGATGCCTGCGCCTGCGGATGCCCTACCAAGTGTGCTCAGCCGAGGCGAGGCAACGGTAACACCGCTGCCGAACCCTCCCCCGCCAGCGCCAGCGCCGCTGCCGGCGTTGCCGCCACCCCCGGCGGCAGCGTATCCAGTGGCGGAGGCATGGCGCGACTGCGGCCGCAGGATTGAACGATGTCTAAGGACCACGGATCCAGGTCCCCTCCAATGTTCGTTGGCGTTGCGGTTAGAACGGTCGACCAGTACGACAATCTCGCCGCCGCCGCCGCCGTCAAAGTCTGTACAGTCGCGGTTTTAAAGTGGGTTGCAAAGGGTCCCCATGAGCACGATGGACATGCCAAGATGCCATGGGCAGCAGAAAGAGAGCACGCGGCATGATAGGTGATGGCGTTGTCCTTCCCGACCCTCCACGTACCTTACCCACCCAACCCCATCGCCCAACCGCACCTGAACGTATGACGGAGGAGCCGCCGCCGCCGCCGCCGCCAGCTGCACCCCCCGCCGCCGCCGCTGCATCCTGCGGCATCCGCCACCTTGGCGGCGCAACCCCGCTATTGTCGACCAACGCGACCAACCGCATTGGCAATGACAGCTCAGCCGGCGGCGGCGCCGCCGCCGCTGCCGCCGCCCCGGCCACATCCGATATCCGTCCCGAGCCCAACGCCGCCAGCAGCCCCAATCCCAGCCCCATTGTGGGAGCGGAGGAGGTGGGTGCAAGGCCATGTCCTCCGCTGGTGGTAGCGCCGCCCGAGGTAGGAGCCTGCTGGGAGGAGGATCCGCCCCTTCCGGGGGCGTCCAGCGGGGCTGCTGCTGTTGCTGCTGCTGCTGCTGTTGCTGCTGCTGCAGGCGCCGAGGCGGAGGTGCGAGAAGCTGGGGTGGGCTCGTCGCCGAAGGGTGCGAGACGCAGGTGGTGCATGAGGACCTCTTCCAGCAGGGTGCGTGACAAGATCACCTTCGCGCACACAAGGATGTGCCGTTGGGGGGGAATAAGGGAGGACGACGACTGGTTGGTTTGATGGAGAGCAATGCGGGGGAAGCGAGGAGGAGGAGGAGCTGGGAGAGGCCTTACGGCGGCGCGGGAGCAACCCCCAAGACCGCTCTCACTGCGGTCAGATCACGCCCCTCCTCCCGTGGTCGCCCTCCTCCCCAGCACCCCGCCCCCAGGACGAATCCCGTTGCTTCACGTCACATCTATTTCCGCCCCGCACCTGTCCGCCTTGAGCTGCCGCATGGCAGAAGCGGGCTGCGCGGTTGACCAGGGGGCCTGCAGTGGAGAAGCACAGACATGTGGGATAGCATTCTCTTAGCAAGAGTGCTGGTGTGTGGCGTGCTTCTGCTTCTCTCAGCCTTAGACGCGGGCGGTACCACAAGGGCCCCTGCCCCTGAGTGCTAAACCCTTCAATGCGCAGCTGGCGTGAGTTATCGCGTTCCAAAACAGCGAGTGTATATAACTTGTCGACCCACCAACAAATAGATCCACAGCCATGATGAGCCCCAAGGAAGCAATCCAGTTTGATATGCACGCCCATCAAAGTCGATGCCCCTCATGCGCAGTCACCCCGTGCCATGCACAGCACCCTGTGTCACACACAGCCGTCTATTTGTTTCCCTCTTCTTCTTTTCCCTTCCCCCGCTGCCGTCGTACCGTAGTAGTCAGCTCTCCCAGTGGTTGGGTGCGGCCCCACCCGCGTGGGCACGCCCGCGTACAGTCCCGCCTTGACCCGTGGGCCGCGGAACAACACAGCGCCCGTCAGCGGGTGCAGCTGCTCTTGCATGCCCGGTAGACACAGCATGGGGGGCGTCCAGGCGATCTGGCGGGCGGGCGGCGTGGATTTTAGGATGGTGTGCAGCAGGGAGACTGACAGCAGAGGAGGTAGCCACAAAGCGAATGTATACTTAAGAACTGGGTAGGTCGTGCGCATACTTAACGCATCTCCAGCATTTGTACGGGTATCCAAAGTAATAGGAACCATTAAACGAACTGTAACTGCTTGAATGAGCCATTCGCAGTTTCACGGTGTAAGCACCTTATGCTTAGACGTGCACGGCTTGATTGTTTGAGGCAAGCTGAGAACTACGGGCATGTGATCAACCAGGTCAGTTAATTTGTCTATGTCTAAACTTGTGCCGCACTCGCAGCCCCCGCCCAGCCCTCTATACATGCACTACCATCTCCGCCATCAGCACGCATTCCCATGGCCAACCCGAGCACAGACCCGTCCCTCCAGACTACCTCCACCCTCACGAATGACCCATGGGTCACTCCTGAGCCCCCTCGCCCCCCGCTTCGCCCTCCCTCACCTCCATGACAAGCTCCTGCAACATGAGGCACCACTCCAGCGCCTCTGCGGGCGCCGCGAATGCAACCATGAAGTGTCCCTCCTGCTCCTGACACTCGTAGCCCCCGCAAGCCAGCAGGCTGCGTCGAACGCAGTCGTTGTAGACGGCCAGAACGTCGAATGACAGGTCGCGGGACACTGCAACCATCTCCTGGTACCTGAGGAAGGTTAGCAGAGGGGAGCGAGAAGGGGGAGCCGTGGAAAGGAGGCTTGGGGTAGAGAAAGGAATGGACGGAGATGGCAGTGTGGCAGTTGCTTACTGCTACGCAACCGCAACTCGTGCGAACCGCGACGACCAGATGCGGTGATGGAGCGTTTCAACCACCCAGCCCCATGTTCCGCCTTTCCTTGGAGCACAAGCTTTACGGCACAACCATAGGATCAACACAATCCATCGGAGCCAGCATGCCACCAGTCACTCACTTCTCCAGGTCGCAGAAGACCATCACCACCGGTGGCAGCGGAGGCGCCGGCGCCCGCATCATTGTTAGTGGCCCCAGCCCCGCCCCGCCGCCTCCACCTCCACCTCCCCGCTGCCCCACCGCCGCCGCCCCCGCCGCTGCTGCCGTACCATACTGGTCCGCTACACACCGAACCAGCGACCCTAGCGGTGCCATTGCCGCCGCCGGCGCGTCCAAGTACCCAGGCGTTAGCTGCTGCTGTGCCCTGTCATCCATGGGCGGCGCTAGACGTGCCCTCTCTTCCAACCCAGGCACAAGAACCTGTGTAAGGCCTACATACTCGACACTTGAGCCCGCATGGAGTTCAAACACACCCATGGCTAGCACCCCCACCGCGAGGGAGGGAATGGGGAGGGAAACGGAGCCGCGTCGCTGGGTGGCGTGAGCTAGGTGGAGCTGGAGGTAGGTGGGCGCGCGGGAGGGGCCGGTAGGCGAGGAGAAGCTGCGGTGCGGCTCAGACACCTGTTCTCGCATGCGACTGAGAGCGAAGGAGGGGGAAATGGATGGGGCACAGAGTGGGGCAAGGATGAGCAGGAGGCTGGAGGGAATGAAGGATGCATAATGGATGTCGCGCGATAGGCGTTGCTTGCCGTTTCATCCGTGTGACTCGTACAACAGCAACAGCTACGCCGGCTATGCCAAAGAAAGGAACGAGTGGAGCAAAAGGTCGCCCCGTAAAAGCTTTAACCAGCCTAAAACACCCGAACTTCTCACCTCTGATTCGCCGCCCGAAGGAAGCCCAATGGAAGCGTTACGTCGTGCTCCGAGAACGACTGTCCGGCGCCGCCAACAACACCGCTTTCGCCGCCGTATCGTAACCCAAAACTGACGCCGCCGCCGTCGCCATTCATAAAGGGGGCCTGATTCGCGGTTCCGCTAGCGTTTACGTCGATGACGGCAGCACCACCAATGCCGCTGACGCCGCCGTCCCCAGTCTCCGTGCCACTCATTCCGCCTCCGACATCAGCATTGACGACAACGGGGGAAGAGGTGGAGGCAAAAGCAAACATGAGGCCCTGGCTTTCCGTTGCAGCAAGCGCACTGCTCATAGCCCTTTGGCGCGGCATGAGTTGTGGCTGCTGCTGCTGCTGTTGCTGCTGTTGTTGCTGCTGCTGTGACAGCAGCTGAAGTTGCAGCTGCTGTTGGGAGTGCTGATTTGGTTGCTTGTTTTGCGGGCTATTCTGCATGCTGGAGAGTGCATGCGGAGATTGCAGACTGCTACTCAACTGCTGCTGTTGTTGTTGCTGCTGGAACAGCTGCGGCTGCGGCTGTGACTGTGACTGCTGCTGTTGTTGCAGTAAGAACTGTTGGTATCGTTGCTGCTGTTGCTGTTGCAGCTGCAGTAGCTGTTGTCGCGCTGAAACCGCTGCTACAGCCGTATTGCTGGGTACCCGCGCTGCCACCATGAGCGTGCTCTGGGCCCTTATCAGTCTTGCAGGAGCAGCAGTAGGCGCGCCCGTACCCGTACCCGTACCCGCACTCGCGATCGGGCCCGAAGTACCCCCACCTGCCACCGCACCCATGCCCGTAGGCCTTGTCATGAAACCACTGGGTTGCCTGGGAACCGGTGAGGAGGCTCCCAACCCGGGTATCTCCAAACTGACACTCATGCGGGAGGGGTACGATGCGGAGCCAAACGCCCCTAGTCCGCTAAGCAGCTTGCTACTGCGACCGCTGCCCGTAGCACCCCAAGCAGGTCGGCCTGTGGGAGCATGACCTGGTGCGGCGCCGCCTCCGCTGCTTGCTGCTGCTGCGGCCGTGCTGCCTCCCGCCAAGTGCATCAGGCCTAGACCTGTGAGCAGCAGCTGACTAACACGACCCATGGGTCGCCCCACAGGCGACATGCAACCCGGCTGACCAGGACCGGGGCAGGAGCCGCCCGCATCCATTCCCATCCCCGAACCATTGGCGCCGGCGCCGGCGGCAGCGTCAACGCTGTAAAACACCGACGCCGCCGGGTCAACCGGGACCACCTCCGGCGGCTCCGGCGCATTCGCCAGATCCGCTAGCGGCTGCCGTACGGTTGCAAAAGCATCCGTAGTAGATCCCCGGCGTCCCACGAGGCCCCATGCCGCCAGCCCGGGTGCAGCGGCGGCCTTGTCGGCGTTGTGGTGTTGCAAGTGGAGACTGCGGGAGCGGCGAGAGGCGGCCCCGCCGCCGCCTGCTGCACCACCGGCAGGGTTGGATAGGAGGTGCAGCACGCGTGAGCCTAGGTCCGCCAGGTTGCTGTGGATGGCGTTGAAGGTGGAGGTGTCCAGCAGGATCTGAGGGGAGAGCAGGATGGGAAGCAGGATGGGTCGAGTAGGATAAACGTACGGCCGGAGACAAACCGGTAGCTGGAAAAAAGTAGGTGTGCTCGGTAAGCATGCATGCTTGCATACAATACCGGTACCGGTAGAAGATGTGTGTTGAGTTAACAGGCGACAGCACATGACCTACGTGTGCCGGTATGTGAGCCCGCATGCATTCAGCTTTCAGCATGCAGGGCTTGTTAGTAATACCAGATAGCGCAGCCACCGCCCCAGCCATAAGCCGTGGTGTGAGTATTGCGCCCGTAGCAGACTGGTATGTGCCTTAGCCCCACCCCTGACAGAGTTATCACCCAGCCCGCCCTCACCTGCCCCCCCTGCGGCAGGTCTGCAACCGCCTGCAGCCGCCGCCGCACCTCCCCCGTGTACTCCAGTCGCTGCGTCACCGCATGGGAGCGAGGCGACTCGTCCGTGACGCCGGTTGCCACCCCCATGCGCACCCGCAGTCCGCGATAGAGCACTCCGACTCGGGTGTAGCGGGTCCAGTCGGAGGGGTTTGGGGCGGGCTCGGAGGTGGCTGCACGGTAGCTGGGGCTGCGGTGGGGTGCGGAGGGAGAGGATGGAAGGAGAGTAAAAGGGCGGAGGGGTGAGCAGGAGGAGAGGATGGGGTTAGGGGGCAGGCTTTCGTGTAAGGAGAGGAATAGCCAAGGAGCCACCGCTTGATGCACATGCGGTGTTGTGTAAATACCGGTGCCGGATCATACCTTCCCGTCCCGTCTGCTTTGTTACTTACAACATTTCCCACCCACCTTTCGTACAGGTGTTGCCCCCTCTTGTTGTCTGCAGAGGGCATCAGCACTCGACCAAAAGCCGTCATGCCCTCTCCAAATGAGCTGCCGCCTCGCAGCGCCGCAAACCCAAACCCGCCCACGGCTCCACTCTCCCCCCTCATTACCCCCTCAGTCCGACCTCCACTGCCAATCCTGCCAGGCTGCGCCTCCCCGTCGGGCCCCACCGCTACCACCGCCGCTTCATCTCCTCCGGTGTTAAACCAGGAGGGTGTTAGCCGGGTATCCCGTACACTCCCGCTGCCACTGCAGCTTCGATGGCTACAGCTACTGCCGCCACTGTTGCTGCTGCTACTGCTAGTGCTACTGCCAGCATTACTAATCCTTCTGCTGCTGCTGTTACCGCCGTTGGTGTCGTTTTGAGGGCCCAGCACGATCCCCACTGCGAGGGTTCCCGTTGCGCTGGTCCTTGGGACGATGGAGGAGGATTCAGGTATGGAAGAAGAAGGCGGCTGGTGATTCGCGGGCTGCTGCAGTAGTTGCTGCAGCAGTTGCGGTTGTTGTTGTTGCTGCTGCTGCTGAGGGTTGACGGAGTTGTTCTGCTGCATCTGCATGTGCAGCTGCTGTTGGTGGTGGTTGTGGTGATGGTGTTGGAAGGCATGGTGCGTGCAGTGCCTATGAAGCTTCCTATGCTGCTGCTGTTGGTCCTGTCGATGCTGCGGCAGGGGATTCAACTGAGAGTGCACCCTAGGCACCAGCCCAAGCGCATTCGGCGGCTGCCGGTTCAGAGCCTGCTGCTGCTGCGGCAGCAGCTGTTGCTTCAGCCAATTTCCTGCTCCTGCAGCCCCACCCACCACTCCTCCTCCGCTCGCTGCTCCCGCCCCTGTCCCGACTCCCGTCAGCGTCCCCGTCCCGGTGCTCATGTACCCATTATGCGTCTGTATCGCCAGGCTTGGATGTGCGAGAGAGGGAGCCTGATACTGGGCCTGGTGCTGGGCCGCGGCGGTGGAATCTACCGAGCCGCGTGCGTGGACCTGCTGCTGCGCATAGGCTGCGTAGGCGTGAGCTGGGTGCAGGGCTCCGGCGGCTATAGGCGGCAGGGGAGCCTGCAGCGAGTCGATCGTCTCGACGCTGGCCTTGGGGTGACGGAAGAGCTCGGCGTCCCAATCGGCGTCTGCGGAGGGAAAGCGGGGCGGATGAAACACAGTGGTGTGTGGTGAGGTACTGCAGGAAAGGAAGGAGCAGTGAGCGGGAGCGGAAGGGAGGAGCGGGTGCAGAGCACTCCTGGGTGAAGCTCTGAGGACTAACGCCTCCGAAGCGCGCCGTTTTACCACTGTTGCTGGAATCCAGCACCGGCCATAGCAGCGGCGCCAACAACGGCGCAATTTGTGCTGTATCTTAAGTACCACCACAACTTCTTTCACACTCACTCAGCAGGGCCAGCTGGGAGGTGATGCACCAGCCAGCTGCGTCACTGGGCTCATGGAAGGCGACCAGGAAGGCGTCACCCTGGGAAGAGGGAGAGGCGGGGGGCCGGAGAAGGTATTTGGGGGTTTGGGGTCCGAGTGGAGCGCACCAAGGCGAAATTCCTAGGAGTGGTGGTGATGCATTTCACATGTCACATGCATGCACGCCACCACCACCACCAGCACCACCACCCTGCCGTACCCATGCCAGCCGTACACCTGCACTGGGCGACCCGCTGCAGTGGGCGACCCAACAGGGCTGGGGCAGCTTCCCGAGCTATGACCTACCCGGCATGGGGCCGTAAGGCAATCCCTTTATGTCAGGTACTCGCTATCTTAACCCACCCCTACCCAACCTTTTCCCCTGCCTCCCGCCCCCCGCCCTCACCTCCGTCTGCACCTCATAGCCGTGCCACTTGGACATTTGCGACCGCAGCGTGCGGTCGTGCAGCTCGATGGCCGCAGCCATCAGGTCCTGAGGGGGCGACACAGAGGACAGACACATACACGGGTATGAGGAGGCATCCAGATGATGGGGCGCGAGGAGGGCACCTTGACCGTGCCGCGTAGGAATACACAAGACATGAGGCATGAGGTGGGTCACATGAGGTGGGTGGGTGGGCTGGTCACAGGGGTGGGGGGTGAGTTCAGGTTGCGGCGTGAGGGGTGCGGTGCCCCTAGCACTTGGATTGGATCCATGCAGGGTTCGATCCATGCAAGGCATGTTGTTTTATTAACAGCCGCAGCAGCCGCATGCAGGAACCGGAGGTGGCACTGAGCAGCCATGTGCCTCAGCCTCCCGCGCCCAGATCAGCCCCCCGCCCCCAGAGCCCCTCACCGTGTCCCACTCCCACAGCTCGGTGCTGCCCTCCACTGCACACAGCCACACAGGCAGCAGCCGCGGGGAGAAGGCATGGAGGATAAGGAAAGAGGGAGAAGAGGCAGGAAGGTGGGACCCCACCGGTGCATAGTTAACAAGGCAAAACACAAGGGGTATCATGGGGCGACACAAGCGGATAAGCGTTACGGTACATGCAGGTGCCGCAAAGGCAGCGCTGGGCACACATCCTTCACGCCTGCCAAGGCACGCCGGCCCCTATCCCAGACGTCTCTCTCTCCCTTCAGTCCGCCCTTGCCCCGCAGGAAACCCTGCCGCCGCGTCTCCTGTCTCCGACTTCCGCTTCCCACCCGCCCCACTCCCCGCGCGTTCCTCCCCTGTCCTTTTAGCCTACCACCTCTTCACCCCCCACACACCACCAACCCGTTCCTCTCACCGTCTGTCAGCACCAGCGTCACCATGCATCCCCGGTTGCGTCGGGCGGCACCGGGTGGCATGCGCTTGGCCATGGCGGCTCGGTACCTCGCCACGGAGGGCCCCAGCCGCCACAGCAGCAGCCCCGACCCCACAGCCAGCGCCACAGTGGACAGTACGGCGGCCAGAATCGCCCACCAAGGGAAGTGACCCTTGGGTCGGCCCGTGGCTGCGACCGCCGTCTCCGCCACGCAGGCCATGCCCACCACTACGAATGTAACCTCTCCGCCGCCGCTGGTGCTGGCATTGGTAACCGAGGTGGATAAAGCTGAGGCAGGCGAGGGGGGTGGGTTCCTGGCGGTTGTGGAGTAGTCTGCGGGAACACGTGTGTAGTTGGCGCTGTAGCCCTCCGTACACCAGCATCCGTCGTACTGCCAGTAGTACGGCGGTACGGCAGCTGGGAGGGAGCCCTGGAGCATGGGGACGGGGCAGGTGGGGCCGCCGGGGCCGCTGCTCTGTGTGACAGTCCTGCGGGGGAGCAGCAAAGGGGCGGATAAGAGGGAGGATACGGCAAGAGGGGATGAGAGGGAGGATAAGCGGAGAGGGGGGGAGGATGGGCGCAGGATGCGAGGGGAGCGGACGAGAGCCCGCCCTCTGCCTCCTGAGCCTGCCCGCACCTCCCGAGCCCCCCCCCCACCACCACACACCCGTTGGACAGGGTGAGGTATTCGGGTAGTCCCGCCGCCCCTGGAGTGGCGGCCTGCATGCGGGTGCCGCGGATGTCCAGCGCACTCAGCGTGACCAGACCTGGGGGGAGGAGGGCGGCGGGAGGCGGGAGGAGAAGGGGGTTAGGGCATGAACGCTCCTCCGGTTTAGTGAAGGGCTGAAGGTCCTCCCCTGCCGTGTTGCCTCACCCGCCCCCCCACCTTCCCTTGCTGTGTAGCCCCGCCCCAGGAGCCGCTAGCCTGCGCTAACCCCCAATTGTCTTGTGACACCCCGCCGCCTCCTCTACCTATTCCTTTGGCCAAACTTACAGCTTTGTCCGGTTTGCCGTTATTCCTGACCCCCCCTTGCTGTGTTGCCTCACCCTCCCTCCCTTCCTAGCACCCCTGTCCTGCCTCACCCTCCCTCCCTCCCCTCCCTCCCCCCCTTCCCAGCACCCCTGTCACCCCTCACCCCCCGGCAGCTGCCCGCTCAGCCCCGCATTGTCCCGCAGCAGCAGCGTGCGCGTGTGCACGCCAAAGGAGGCGGGGAGGGCGCCGCTCAGCCGGTTGTACGACAGATCCAAGTACTGCGGGATCCAGGTGCGTGGAAAGAGAGGAGGAGCAACACGCAAGCAAGAAGCCGTACGACATCACCGTCACCGCCATCACACGCCATTCCGTGGTTACGTGAAGTACGGCAGGAATTAGAAGGGGAGGGAGCAGCAGGGCAGCTTGAAAACACACACGGCACTGCACATCCCGCCTACCCCTACCCTGGTCCCTTTTCCATCTCCGCTGCATCCGCCCACCCACACCGCAGCTGCCTGCTCCCAACCCAGCGTTGCGTCAATATCCCAGCACAACTCCCCGTCCTCATCCCATCCCTCTCCCTAACACCCCCCAACCCAACTCCTGCGACACCCCAACCCACTCCCCAAACCCCAGTCATCATCCCTGTTGGCCCCCTCTTCAGTCCCCGCCCCCGCACCCCTCCCCACCCCCACCCCGCCCCCATCACCTGCAGCTGGCTCCCAGCGCGCATGTCCCCAGGCAAGCTGCCCCCCAGACTGTTATTCCTCAACGCCAAGTACGACAGGGACAGCGAGGCACGCAGCAACGGAGCCACAGGACCCGTCAGCTGGTTATGCGAGGCATCCAGGTAAGCCAGACGAGCATGTGCAGCTAGATACCGGGGAAGCGAGCCGGACAGGCGGTTCCAGGAAAGGTCAAGGTACGACAAGTCCTCCGCCACCCCTGCCCCCTGAGGCAGATCCGGGAGCTGTCCGTACAGTTGGTTATACGACAGCCGTACGCTACGTAGCTTGCTGGGGCCGGTGAAGAGGGTGGAAGGTAGGGATGAGGACAGGAGGTTGGCTGAGAGGTCTAGGTACTGAAGCGTTGGGTGCTGGAAGAGGCGGGCGGGCAGAGGACCGGAGAGGCGGTTGTTGGACAGGAGGAGCGCGGCTAGGTTGGGGAACGGGAAGGAGGAGGAGGATGGTGTTGCGGCGGTGGTGGTGGTGTAGTTTGAAAGGTCGGGAGGTGGTGGGATTGAAGTACTGGCAGAAGTAGCGGCGGTGGTGGTGGTGGTAGGGGTGCTGCCAGGAGGGGTGGGGGCGGGAGCTGAGGATAGCAGCGGCGGTGGGAGTAGAGTTGAAGTTGGAGTTGGAGGAGGTGACAGTGTTGGAGGTGGTGGGAAAGCTGCTGCTGCTGGTGTCGCCACCAGGACTGCTGCTGCTGCGAAGACCTCGATGCCGGCTGAGAGCTGGTTGGCTGCGACGCTTAGGTACTCCAGGAGGGGGAGGGCGGTCAGGCAGGCGGCACTGCCGTACAGCCCGTTGGAATCCAGATCCAAAACCCTGCAGGGGTGTGCGGAAGGGGAAGAGAGGGATGAGGGAGGTGAGCTTCTCATGACTGCCCGGGCCTGCCATCCCAAGTGTTCCCAACCGCCGGTGGGTCGCCGTGACTATAGGATACAGTAGCAGTTGCAGCCCTGAAGCGAGATGCGGTGGTGTGGCACATAGCCGGTTCGCCGCCCTCCCCCCAGCTTGCTGGCGGGCTAGGTCATCGGTATCGGCGACGCAACCGGACACTGCGAAACACCCATACAAGATGCAGCACAAAACTGCATTCCTGTGCAGCGGAGGAATGCACCCCCAGTCCAAGGGGCCCACAGCCATACTGCACACCAAAACCACGACTACATGTTCCAGAGTTCATTGCCCCATACGCGTGCCAGGATGTTCGGTCGTTAGACGTATTGACACTGCGTGCTTACTTCAGGCTGGAGTTTAGGGCTGTCCATGGCACCGCCTCAAGGTCTCCTGATATGTTATTGGCAGCCAGACTGAGCCCAACAACTCCCTCCTCGTCCGTACACCTTAGGCCTACTCCCTCGAAGACGCTCGCAGCGCTCGGCGGAGGGGTTGTAGTGCTGCTGCCTGCGTAATCCTCATCCAAATCGGCCGGCATGCAGCACAAAACGCCCTCCCAACTGCACACTGAGACGTCGTCCTTTAGCCAGTTGCTTTGCCGCTCCCAAAAGGGACCGTTCCATGCCGCATAAAGCTGACTGAGGGCCTGCCGCTGACTCGCTCGGCAAATTGCGTCACAAACCGGGACCACGCCGCTGCTATCCGAGCTATTGCTGCTGCTTTCAGCTACGCTGCGCCAATGCCATGATGGCAATGGCTGCGCCAATGCTGCTGCTGGCGGCCCAGCTCCGTCTCGGCTGTTCCGGTGTAGCGGGTTGAGAGCTGCGCCTGTCAACCGCCATTTGGCATCTGCTTTACTATCATGTTCACCAAGGCAATGCCCCGCCGGCAAGGACAGAACCAAGGCGAAAAATAGTATCAGATTCATGCTCGGCACCTCGCTTTTTGACTCATACCGGCCTACACTATCGTGGGTGGTGTTCGTTTCTGTTTATATAAATATGCATTTCTTTCTATGACAGTAAAGGTTGGTGATCCCAGAAAGCTGCCCCTGCGGAGGGTGGGAAGTCATTTCTCTCGTCAAATTCTAGATGTGTTACGGCATATGGTATTGTGAAAAAGATCACTGTTGTTGAAAAGGCAGCATCCATCGAAGAAACTGGGACAAAAAAGCGTACGACAAGCGGCATGGCTAGGAAACCCACTTGCGACAAACGACCTATCTGGAAGATTGGGGTTGCTGTCAGCTAGCAAACTGTTACTGGTGTTGCAAAGCCTATAGCTCTAGATGACAAACGCTCATACCTGATTGGGGCAAATCTTATGCAACGTCATCACTCTCCTAATTGCCTTTAAGTTCGCGCTAGTTCTTCCGCCTGAAGCGTTCGAGTTCACATAGTACGGTCCATGACTAAGGTAAATACGGTTGAAAGCATCTAGGGGCAAGCAGGGGGCATTGCACCTGCGCTTGCCCCAGCCGAGCTACAAAACATTTCGGCATACCGGTATACCCAAAACCCGAACAATGAGCCAGATGCGCCTGGGCGGCTGGTCGCCGCCCGTATGCGAAAGCCTAACCCTGCCCGCCTAGGTTGTTTAGGTATCTACCTAGGACGAAATTAAGGCTCTGCGGTCGACGACCAGATCTCGTCGTTGCTCTATAACCGATAGGCGGAGCCTGCTTACCCTGACTCCCCTGTAATACTCCCGTTCTTACCTGCGTCCCTACGCTCCCGCACCTGTAAGCACACGCTACCTGCATAAAGGGTAAGGAGACTCACGTTGTAGCGGCCGCTTTAGCTGTCTGTCCGCTTGCGTAGCATCAGCTTCAGCTCTCGCCCATTCCTTAGCTCCGCTAGGACTGCACTTCTCTCGGCGCGCCCTTGAGTCGCCGCCGTTGGCCCGTGCTGCACCATTTTCATTGACGTTTGACAAGTTGTTATGCAGGCGAACGTCACTGGCAGTACCTAAGTTGTTAACAGAATCCGTTGGCTGCTAAGGCAAGCCTGTGCCATTTCGGCTCCTCTCAGCCGCCCGTCCTTGGGCTTACAGCTGTAGGCTCTCAACGGCGGCCAAAGGTCGCAGCTACAGGGAGCCATGTCGTCTCGCAAGGGGCACACATGTCTCGTAGTTACAAATGCCGTACTCTGGAGAGGACTAACCATTAGTCAGCCATTACTGAGCCGAAGGAGAATCCTTACGTGAAGTGCCGCGTGCAATTTGGCCCGAATGGAAACCCCCAAGTGTTTGCAAGAAGATACTGAAGGGGGTGGCGGGTTGCTTGGAAAACTGAGAGCTATGCAGAACACCACCCTTGCCGAAGCCCTTTCTGCACCTTTACAGTTTTACTACGGATGACATGAGAGGGGACACACCTGCAAGTAAACGCATGGCAAATAAACCCATGGCTTGAAGGCCACAGTTCTTTGCCAACCTCGCAACCATTGCTGAGCACAGAATAAGGCGAACCACTTAATGGCAAAACGTGTACATGCTCCGTAACTGCCCATACCTGCTGCCTTTCACCTTGCATCGCCATGTCTTGCTTTTGATGTGGCCGCTGCTATGCCCCAATGTTGCTCCCTTGCTCTCATGACCCCCAAACCCTCACACCCCTCGCCGGTGTTCTTAAACCCGCACCGACGGCCTAAATTTTGGTTGGATTATTCAACAATCCCAACAACAACAATCTTCAGATGCCGTCCGTCAACCAACACCCCGGCACCCGCCATTGTCAATTCGGCATGCTCCATAACACGATTCATAAGCCCCAGTCCACCGCATGCCGCCTTGATTCCACCTTCAACCAACACACCTCCCCAACCAACACCACCGTATCCAACAACCACCCACGTTATCACCTCCATCCCTTCCTCCTCCTCCTCCTCCTCTCCTCCCCTCTTACACAACCGCTGGGGCAAGTGCCCCACCACTCCTCCCCTACCACACCACCGCTGCCCTCCTCCCTTACGTCACGACCGGCCTCCCGCTGCCCTCCTCCCTTACGTCACGACCGGCCTCCCGCTGCCCTCCTCCCTTACGTCATCACCGGCACAGGCGCCTTGCAGGTGGGGCACGTGGTGGTGCGCTTCACGCCCGGAGACGCCGCCGCCGCCGCCACCGCCGCCGCCTCCTCGCCGCCCTGGGTGGCCGCGGCCAGGCCCGCCGCCGCCGCCGCCACGCTCTCCCGCGCCCTGTCGCAGTACTCCTTGAAGCAGTTGTCGTGCTGCACATGCAGGCAGCCCAGGATCACCATGGGACCCTTGGCGGCGCTGTCGGCGTCGCCGCGGGTGCGGGCCTGGGTGATGTGGATGGGCTGGTTGCACACGCCGCAGGGAGCGGTTTCGGCGCCGCCGGCGATACCCGAGTGGCCCGCCTCCTCCAGCGCAGTGGCCAGGGCTTGCCTGGGGTGGCGGGAGTACGGGGGGGAGGTGGCGGGGAGGTTGGGTGAGCGGTTTTCACTTTGGTTTAGATTCGTGGGCTTTTTCCCTGTTATCCTCTCCACCTGCATCATCAGGAGCTCGTCGGCTTTGTTTGCCAGCCTCATTCAACAATTGGGTATTCTTCTTTCCTCCCTCCCGCCCCCTCCCGGCCCCTCCCCCTCCCCGCCTGCCCCTGCCTCACCTGTACCTCAGCGCCTCCTGCGGCATGTCCAGCTGCAGCTCCGCCAGGTTGGCCAGGTTGATGAGCACCTGGATGACCTTGTCGTGGTCCTCCATCAGCTCGAAGATCTCCATGGCCTGGGGGGGAGGGGAGGGGGAGGAGGAGGAGGGGGAGGAAGAGGGGGCAGAAGAGGGGGAGGAGGGGGGAAATGATAGATTATTGCATCAACGGAGTCACAATCCCGAGGAGGGGGAGGAGGGGGATTATCAGGGATACATATTCCGAAGGAGGAGGAGGAGGAGGGGGAGAAGGAGGAGGAGGAACGGAGGGCGGTGTTGGTGGCGTAGTACCAGTATTCAGAGCAGGCCGGAGTGCCTGATAAGCTGCACTGGTGCCGCTGAAACCCCACATGCCGCCCCGAGCCCCCGCCTGCTTGGACACCCCATGCTACCGCTGCCGCCTCCCCCCGGCCCCATTGGGAACACCCCCTCGCCCCGCCCCCTCGCCCCGCCCCCATTGGCACTCCAGTTGCTTCACCCTTCGTAACCTTCCCCGCCCTCCCCCGCCCCCACCTGTTCGTACGCCTGCTTGGCCTGTTGGAACCTGTGTGTGGCGAACAGCGCGGCGGCCATGTTCACCATGGCAGCGGCCGCCTGCATCATACCGGTGGCCATGGCGGCGCGGTCGCCCGTCTCGGCGGCCTTGGCGACCTGCAAAGGGGAGGGGGTGAGATAATTGGTAAGGGGGGGGGGGTAAAATAGACCAAACCACAGGAAACCACGAATGAGGGCAGAATAAAGGGGGAATGGGGCTGTAGGGTGCAGAGGGGGGGGGCAGGGAGGGTAAGGAGGAAGGGAAAATGCCATGTTGCGTAAGAACGTGGCAGGAGGAAGGGAGGGCAGGGAGGAGCGTGGGGTGCTCGTCCGGCCGGCTGAAACGGAAACGGAACACGACAAAGGAGAAAAAGCTTTGTTTGTTTCGCAGGCAGACAGGCAGGCTGTCACACGAAGCCGTGTGAGCGTGTGACAATTGGCATGTTCGCCTGATCCGCCCAAGGGCCCCCCTCCCCCCTCCCCCCCTCCTACCTCGTCCTCCCGCAGCTTTACTGCGATCTGCAGGCAGGTGAGCCCCTCCTCGGGCTCGGCCGACATCACCGCGTTGCCCAGCGCCACCAGCACCTCGGACTGCGGGAAGGGCGGGGGGAGGGGTCAGCTTCCAAAAGGGTTTTAGGGTTTTCTTAGGTACCGGTAAGATCACGTGGTGTACTTCCACACGGACTGCAGCGAAGCAAGTACGGTAGGTGAAAACATGTGGCAAAAGGCTCCTCTGCGTGACGAGGAGAGGAGTGCCTCCATCGCACCCTGCCCACACGCCTACCACCTCCCCAGCATTCCTCGCCCCCGTCTCTCGCCTGGCCTTCTCTCCCCCCCTTATACCGGTACACCCCCCCCCTGCAGCCCCCCACCTGCATGCCGGCGCTGTCCGCCTTCTGCGCCACGATGAGCGCCTCCTTGAGCACCTCGGTGGCCTGCAGCGGGAGGAGGGGGAGGGGGGCAGGAGGAGGAGGAGGGGGGGTAGCGGGTGGAGGAGGGGGGCAGCTGGAGGAGGGGAGCAGTCGGAGGAGGAGAGCAGCGGTGAGGAAGGGAAAAGAAGGATTCGACAAAGTTGCCGGGTGGAGAGAGAGGGAGAGGCACGAGCACGGGCAGAAACCACTCGCCTTCCGTGACGCTTGCTCTTCCCAACCTCCTCGCGCCCGCCCGCCTTCCCTACCCAACCGCCCTCTCCCCCTCCACCCGTCCCCTTACACCAACCTCTTCCACCTCCATACGCATCCCTCTATCCCACCCCACCCGACCCCACCCCATGGCAGCCCCGGCCCCCCACCTCAAACCCGCACCCCTCCCCGCACCCCTCAACCCCGCACCCCACCCACCCCATCCTGCACCCACCTCGCTCAGCTTGCCCACCGACTTCCACAGGTTGCCCAGCCCCACCGCGTTGTCCACCTGCGCAGCCGCGTTGTCCTCCGCCTGCGCCGCCTCGATGCCCGCGCGGAACGAGTCCGCAGCCGCCGTGAAGTTGCCCAGCTTGGTGTGCGTGTGCCCCAGCCACTTGTGCAGCTCCATCACCAGGTCGGACCGAGACTGCTGCCGGGCGGCTGTCTGCAGCGCCTGGAAGGCGGCCAGCGCGGTGGGGAGCTTGCCTGCAGGGAAGAGGGGTGGGGGGCGGGGAGGGGGGGAGAGGGGGGGAGGGGCATGTGGAACGGGGGGCTTAGGGGGTAGGGGAGTTTGAACGCGCATGCCTCAATGTATCAATCGCCGCCATTGCGCACAACCGCAGGCCTCAAACAGAAGACACCGCTTTCCCTCCTCTCACCCCCACCCACCCACCTCCCAGGGGGTTTTACCCACCTCCCAGGAAGTACATCACCGCCTCCTCAAACCGCCCGTCCAGCGTGCCCGCGCCCCGCTCCGCCGCCTGCCGCAGCACCTCCACCAGCGCGCCCTGCAGCCCGCCGTGGGCAGCGCCCGGCGCACCACTGCTGCTGCTGCCCTCCTCTGCGGCAGCAGCAGCAGCTGCACCCTCAGCGGGGGCGGCAGCGGCAGCGGCATCCTCCTTAGCCTCCGCTGCCTTCTCCTCCCCGGCACCCTCCACGGGCTCAGCAGCAGGCACTGCATCCTCCTCCTTGGGCTGCTCCGCTGCCTTCTCCGCAACCTCGGTGGCAGCAGGCGCCTCCGGGGCAGCGCTGTCCGCAGGAGCAGCTGCGTCGCCGCTGGGGCTGGTGCTGCTGGTGCTGCTGCCCTCAGCGGGGGAGGCAGCGGGCGCCTCAGAGCTGGTCGGGGCGGGCGCGGCCTCCTCGCCCGTCACGGCGGCCTTGTAGGACTTCTCGGCGGGGGATCCGCCCGAGGGGCCCGCGGCGCCGCTGTCGCCGGAGGGGCCGCTGCCGCCCGCGGCGGGCGCGTCCGGCCGCGGGCTGGCGACCTTGGTGCAGCTGGGCTTGTGCTCGGGCCAGTGCTTCTTCTGGCAGGAGATGGAGCAGTAGTAGACGGACTTGCAGTTGCCGCAGCGCAGCGGCAGCATGCCGGACTTCAGGGGCTTGGAGCAGCAGGCGCAAGACTTGAGGCCGGTGCCGGCGGGCTTTGAGGCCGCAGCGGACGAGGCCGCGGACGTTGAGGCGCCCGAGTCTGAAGGGCCATCTTCGATGACAGTGATGGTGGTCGAAGGGGGCTTTGGAGCTGGCTTGCGGGTGGGAAGTGACGGTCCGGCCCGCTGCTTAGGAGGACTAGGAGTCTTCCTGATGGCTATCGAAGGTCCCTGGGAAGCGCTGCCTGTGGCTCCTCCTGTCAGCAACGCCTGCATCGACATAGGAGCCTCCTCCGCTTCCTGCTCTGGCTCTGAAGCCAGGACGTACTTATAGATCACATAGCCAGCGCCTGCTGTAAGCGTCGCTGCTGCTGTGATAGCCGCCGCCTTGTAAAGCCAGGGCGAGGAACTGCTACCTTCCGCCATAGGGACGAACTTGTAGTTTAACGGAAAAAGGGTAATAACTATATGACTGTATGCTTTGCTCCCGGCAAAAGCCCTTTCACTTAACTCGAATGATCGGGTGAGAGAACGAGCGCCCCCGATACCGGTGAATAGCGTGAGTGTAAGTACACTCCAAATAGCGAGTTCGGGGTTGGCCAGTTACCACTGTGTAGGCCGTGTATGTCGCATGGTGTCGGTATACGACAACGGTTCATCTTTCCTTTACTTCGTGAATTTCAAGGGGCAGAGCTTTATGCGTGCAGAGCATTTAACCTTATATCTCTTGTGGACACTGCCAGTAGCACCGTTCACAGACCAGTAATTCAGCTCACTACGCAAAACGCAATACACATTTACTGCCATCAACTGCTCCCTTATGGCTCTCCCGTCGCTTTTGTCGGGTATAGCACGACGCCAGACGCTCAGCGCTAAGGGGATTTTCCTGAAGGCACATCGTTGCTTGACTTCAGCTCCTGAACCCTCGTCGTCGGAGCCTGGTAGCGCCTCGCATTTGCGCGAATTCCGGGCCCAGGTTCAGGCGTTCGCACAGCAGGTCATCGCTCCACATGCCGAGTCAATTGACCGGGAGAATAACTTCCCATCAAGCGTGAACTTATGGCGGGAGATGGGCAACTTCGGCCTGCTCGGTGGGTTGGACGGGACTCAGGAGTGCGAACAGTTGCGTTCGCTCCTTCCGGCGCTAGCGATTGACCTTCAAGATACGCAAATTATTGCATTGAGTGTCAGTAGTTCCAGCTGTATCGCTTACTGCATACAAGGAACCTGTGCTCGCCGCGTCAGCATGCCGCGCAAGCAAGTGCCTTGCAAGCCACGCAAGCAGGGACCTTGTTGTCAACCTCTTCCATCCAAACACCAGTGTGCCTGCTTACCCATGCGCTTTCGAGCTTTTGCTTGGTCAATGATTTTGCAACCGTTGGCCAATTTGCGTAATCCCCACAGGCATCACTGCCCCTCCTGAGTACGGTGGTCTCGGACTGGGCTACTCCGAGCATTGCATAGCCATGGAGGTGCGGTCTGTATTTTAACTTGCGTCATCCTAGTCTTCTGGCTTGGAACGCTTGACTCAAACCAATGTGAGCTTGCCACATGCTTGCAAGGTGCCTGCAAAGTTGGCTTTCGGCCTTTGCGCTGAAGCTTAACGCTTATTGAGGGGCATGTGCCAACACCCTTTGTATGGGCTTGCGAACCAAGTCGTGGCTGGTTTGCTAACCGTCCATCCCAACTGTTGCATCTAGCGAGCAGTAAACGCGCCTTCCCCACCTTGCCTCTCCAACCGCCTTCCATGCAACCCACTACTACCCATGGCGCCGCTTTCCTCGCCTCCTTCTCCACCTCCTCCCCAGGAGATTAGCCGTGCCAGCGGCTCTGTGGGCCTTAGCTACGGCGCCCACTCCAACCTGTGTGTGAACCAGATCGTCCGCAACGCCACACCGGAGCAAAAGGCCAAGTACCTCCCAAAACTCATTTCAGGTGCGTGTATTGCCTGTCCCCTGCCTCTATCGTGTCCCTCCGCTGGCTGTTCCCCTGGAGTGCTCCAGCGTCCAGCCCATGGCTCTGATCTATAGCCCAGAACTCGCTGGGCATGGCTGCGGTCCACGTGAGTCTAGACGTCTCCACCCGTCTCTATCGCTCCACTCCAATGCTCCCCCCCCAACCCCACTCCCACAATGCCCTGCCCCTGCCCCTGCCCCTGCCCCCGCACCCGCACCCGCACCTGCCCCCGCACCCGCGACCCTCCAGGCGAGCACATCGGCGCCCTGGCCATGAGTGAGCCCGGCAGCGGCAGCGATGTCGTCTCCATGCGCTGCCGAGCGGAGCGCAAGCAGCAACCCACCTCCTCCTCCTCCTCGGCTTCCAGCTCCTCCTCGTCCTCGCCGCCCTTTGTGCTGAACGGCACCAAGATGTGGTGCACCAACGGCCCCAAGGCGGACCTGCTGGTGGTGTACGCCAAGACCGACCCCGCTGCGGGGCCGCGCGGCATCACCGCCTTCCTCATCGAGCGCGGCATGCGCGGCTTCCGTACGGCGCAGAAGCTGGACAAGCTGGGCATGCGCGGGAGCGACACGTGCGAGCTGGTGTTTGAGGATTGCGAGGTGGGTGTAGAAAGCCTGGGGTAGCCATCCCTAATACTGACTCACCCCACATCACCTTCTCTGCCTACCTGGAGCCCTCCCAGGCAATCCACTTCCGTCCCTCTCGCTCCCGCATAAATTTGTCCTACTCTCGGCAAGGCACCGACCCAACACCCACCCCCGCGCTCCTCTCCGCTGCTGCTGACCCCCTCTCCGCTCCGCGGCTGCTGACCCCCTCTCCTCTCCGCTGCTGCTGAACCCCTCTCCTCTCCGCTGCTGCTGACCCCCTCTCCGCACCGCTACTGCTGAACCCCTCTCCTCTCCGCTGCTGCTGAACCCCTCTCCGCACCGCTGCTGCTGGCCCCCTCTCCGCACCGCCCAGGTCCCCGCATCCAACGTGTTGGGCCCCGTGGGCGGCGGCGTGGGCGTCATGATGAGCGGCCTGGACTACGAGCGGCTGGTGCTGGCGGCGGGGCCCTGCGGCCTCATGGCGGCCGCACTGGATGTAGCGCTGCCGTACGCCACGCAGCGCAAGCAGTTCGGGCAGGCCATCGGGGAGTTCCAGGTGGGGGGGAGGTGGGGGAGGGGAGAGGCAGACACACATGGGTACCAATGTACTGCGACACGCACATTAACACCGCCGCCGCTTTCAACTAGCCCATCCAGTGTAGCTCGCCTGCAGCTCTGCCGTCTTCCTGCCCTAGGCGACCCAGCTTCCCTTACCCGTTCCTCCCTCCTCCTCCTTCTCAACACATTGGGTATCCTCCTTTTTCCTCCCTCTCCCCCCACCCCACACCCCATGCAGCTCATCCAGGCCAAGCTTGCCGACATGTACTGCCGGCTGCAGTCCAGCCGCGCGTTCGTGTACTCGGTGGCCGCAGCAGCAGACAGCGGCGCACCCGCGGACCGCAAGGACTGCGCCGCCGTCATCCTGACCGCCGCGGAGGCCGCCACGCAGTCAGCACTGGATGCAATTCAGGTGGGATGCATGATGGGTGGGGGCGCTGGGAGGGCTGGGGCAGCAGGGGGGCTGGGGCCAGGGGGCCAGGGGGCATAAACTACGAATAGCAGCCAAGGCTAGGGTAGGGCGAGGGCCTTACCAAGTGAAGCATTGGGGCGAAATGAGGATGGATGCGCCATTGATAGGGTTGGTGCGTTGCTAAAGTGTGGAAGGGGCAGCAGAAGTGGACTGACGGGGGCGTTTGGCATGGTTGCTTTTGGTGGTTGCAGATCCTGGGAGGTAACGGTTACATCAACGACTACCCGACCGGTCGGCTTCTGCGGGATGCGAAGTTGTACGAGATCGGCGCCGGAACCAGCGAGATCCGCCGGTATCTGATTGGACGGGAGCTGTTCAAGCAGAGCGTCGAGGGACAGCTGCCGTACAACTGATGCTGCAGTACGATTGATACTGCAGTACAAAGCATGCTGCAGTACAACTGATGCTGCTGCAAGGGATGCCGCTGCAAGTTGTTCTATATGCAACCGGAAATAGTAGGCTGCATCGCTCAGGAAGGCTGCTCCGGGACATGTTCAGTAGCTAGCACTAAGTTTTGTTTTGTAGTTCTGTTTGTCGTGCACATATGGCTCTCTTTGCTTCATTGGATCAAGGTTAGCCAGCATTGGTAGATAGCCAAGGTCATCCAGCCGGTGTTCTTACACCGCTCTCGCTTTTGGGTTGCGTTGTAGCTTCTATCTTGGTGTATCAGAGACGCGGTATCAACCCGAGGAGAAACGGATGTTAAGTTTAAGGCATCGCGTAATTGTCGTTGCCCATTGCACAGGTTGCGTTCGTACAGTTCGTAGCTCCTCGTATGTCCGGTCGTCTGGCACCTCATCTCATCTGCAGGGGCGATTAGTCGTAGGGAACGCACGCTTCCCCTGGCGCTCTTAGGGCTGTACGTGTTGTACCTTTTCTGTTGTACCAAATGTTTTGCTGTTGTACAATGCTGGGTTTGCTGTAGCGGCTTATTACTAAGACGCCTGGCATGTTGTATATTATATGCACCGTGGCTTACGTCATTACGTACCACAGTAGTTGTAGGCTAGGGTTTATCCGGAATGTACGGAAGTCCGTTGGCGTCCTTTTGATGTGTACGAGGTGCGTTACCATCTTCGCCGTTAAGGAGTTCTGTCGTGATCACGCTAAGAAAGATTCCAATATGACGTGAATACCGGTTTAAGTTCGGTTCACGTTCACGGTGCGTTCCATAGATAATGGGGCATTGGTGGAAGTCAAGGTTTTGGTACGAACGTAAGCGACCCATGGTTCATGCCATGGGGTGGTATCAGACTGGGAATGTAGTGGAATGATGCTGTTGGTGCACTGCTGACCGTTTACAGCGGTCCCATTACTGGCTAGATCCGAAGGATGGCGGTGCTTCTCCAAGTGACTGTGTGTTCACTACAGGCTGCTGCTCGGTAAGGCGACAACATTGTGGCGCAATGACACCTCCGTATTCGTACGAGTGCAGGATGCATGCCTGTTTGAAAGTATACCTTGTAAATGTTTAGGCAAAGCGCCAGCCTGTTAACTATTACTGAACGAGCGACCCACTTGGCTTGTGCCACAGGCGGTAAAATCTTGTTGGTTGTGCGAAAATGAAGGGCGATGGCAGCAGTGGATGCGATGTTATTCACTCGCTACGGTGCTACGGTCCCCTTACTGGGGGATAGTGCTCCTCCAAGCGACTGCGTGATAAAAGCAGGCTGCTGCACTGGCGTGTCAGTATTCGGAGAGGCGGCGATTGATGACGCACATGCATGAGACCTTCATATGATTGAGTGCCGGCTGTCGGTGTGAAAATACCTAAAATGTAATGTTTAGGCAAAGCGCCAGCAGCTAGGTAACTAAGGCTGAACGAGCGACCTACGGGTCACTAGGCTGTGTACTTTGCCCTTAAGCATGATGTACACATCAAACACAGGCCCGTGAAATTACAGAGGGAGGGAGGGCTTGGGCAGGGAAACGTTTTGGACATGCAGTGCTGAACTTACAGGCTTAACTAGTGGTTCGAACAATAAATATTGTTTCCCTTGTTTGGCGCGCGAATTTAACGATGTCACCGAACACAACTAGCATGTGATCACATCCGCATCGCCATCCATGGACAAAGCACAATGGAGCCACACGGGCCGTTACAATACATGCATGCACGTGCCTCTATATAATACATGCGCGCTACGCCGTATATATCTTGTCTAACCGGACAACCAACATCACCGACAGTATACCATATTTCACAGCAGGGTGTATACTGTCATGGGGAACTATGACACGAGTACATCACGAGGCATTGTAGGAAATGAATGTGCAACGGCAATAACTACATGCATGTCTGGTAAAGCAAGGGCTCACAAGGCATGCATATATAATGAATGTGCAATAGCTATTGGTACATGCATGTCTGGTAAAGGGCTCGTTGGGGCCACGTCACCTCCGCTGGTTACTAATATCGGTCTTATGCCGGCGGGCAGGGCGGGTAGTTGGTTGGGCAGGTGGCCAAGGCCGGCGCGGGCGTTGGTGGGCTGTCCGGGCAGTACCAGAGCAGCAGCGACATGCAGCCCTCGTCCTCGTGGCTCAGGATGTGGCAGTGATACACGCTGAGCCGTTCCTGGCAGCTGGGAGCGGCGGCTGGAGCGGGGGCCCGCGGGTACTTGGCGTAGCGGCCCTCGCTGCACATGGGGCTCGCGGCGGGGGCCCGGTAGTCGGTCGCCATGAACTGCACCGTGACCTGGTCGCACACGGAGACGTTGGAGCCGCACGCGCCGCCGCCACTGCCTTGCAGGGCCCAGGGGCAACCGTCCTGGCAGGTGGGGAGCAGCAGCGTGTCCAGCCAGTCGCCAACCTGCAGGCAGGCAGGTAGAGAGTGCAATACATAGGAGCGGGGTGTCTGAGAAACATGGTATCGTGCAGGGATGGGCTGCAGGCGGCAGGTTCGCCTCTAAGTCTTCGGCTTGGAGCAAGGCAGTCCAGGAAGACCTGTTAGCAGGTGGCATTCGTACCGCCCAATGCTATACACGGCGGGGCGTGCTCATACCTGGAAGTTGTTGGTAACGTCGGCGGTGCACGCAGGTAGGTAGTTCAGGCGGAAGGGTGACTCATGGATGTGGAAGGGGTGGAAGGTGATGTCGCGGAGATTCCAAATCTGGTTGGTGCCTTGCTCCACGTACGTAACGTAGTCGGGGAAAACCTCGTTGTTGACGGAGCACATGCCACCTACATGCATGCGGGGGCAACCAACGGTCCTTGGATGGGGCACCAGCAGTCATCCGAACACCATCACCCAGTGTACCCTTTGCTTGGTGGAAAGATACATCACGAATGCATGCGAGAGCAGTAGTATGGTACCGGCAAGCGTGCAGACCCCGGCTTCACGACCCAGGTTGTGGAAACCGATTGCCCCCCCCTGCTCACCGAACTGGCTGTTCATGAAGGACATGCACTGGTTCTGGGTCTTGGTGGGGAAGTTCTTATAGTCCATGTAGCGGTAGCGCTCCAGCCTGTTTGTGTGTGGGGGACGAAAGGGGAGTCGGTATTAACAAATTTACAGTCATTCGATAGGGCTGCTACCACCATGCATGTACCGGTATGCACAATGCGAAAGCTGGTAGGTGTGTCAACCACCTCCCCGATGGCCCTGTATTGCCTTGCTCACTTGGTGCGGCAGACATTGTCACGAATCAACGCGTCCGCCGGGGTTTGCTTGGGAAGGCTCCCAACGTTGACCACAGCCAATACGGCAGCCTCCAGCTCCCAGCCGCCGTACAAGTTGTTGGCAGGGCGCAGAGTGGCGCCATTGGCAGGAGCATCACCGAAGCACTCGCAGTGGGTGGCTTGGCAGGCTGCAAGGCAGTTACACATGCAGCAGGAGAGGATAGGGGAGCATAAATGCCAAGAACGAAACCGTGGGGCAAAGGCTCAGGTGCCTGGCACGCACGATACGCACGCACGCTCATTCGAATACATGTCATTCATACCCATGATTCGCGGAGATTCCCTTCGAACCTGCCCTACCGTTGTAGTTGGTGTGGAAGGGCCCCGCGCCAGCGGACGCGAGCACATAGGTCCCCGGCTCGTCACACTTGATCAGCACGTCAGCGCGGTTGCCAGGGCCCAGGATGACGTCACTGGCGCTGACGTTGCTGCCGACGGGCTTGGAGCTCATGGTGCGCGGGATGTAGGGCAGCGGCATGCCGTCCCGGGCGAGCAGCTGGAACCTGCGGGAAAGGCAACACGTGCAGCGGTTAGCCGGCAGGACTCTTCCCATTAAGCAGCCCTAACACCCAGGATAAAGGTTGTGTTAAACCGTACGCAGGCCCCGAGAAGGCCGCATAGATTCGACATACACTGCGACCCGCTGCCACTGCACCCCATACCATGTGTTCCCCGCTTACTTGCACGTATCAGCCAGCTGAAGCGTGCCGTTGGGGAGAACCTGACAAGGCAAATACCAGGGATAATTGTGAGGCTTTGCCGGTACAGTGCACCCATCATGCGACAGACAAGGAACGAATGCAGATCCACCTGCATGATGACCCATGGGTCGTACCTTCTGGACGGTCAGGTCCAGCCACTTCATGGCCATTGTGTTGATCAGCTGCCAGCGCGTATACCTACATGAAACGGGTTAGGACAGTGGAATGACGTGAAGCCCAAAGTAAGGGAAACATGCATGCGCATCTTCGGCCGTGTGTGTATAAACCGTTATGCCCCTGCCGTAGCCCAGTGGCGCTGCAACCCAAGCATGCCCACTTACTTCTTGGCAGTAATGCTTATGGTGGGCTGGAAAGCGCCATTGATCAGGGCCCAATCACGGCCTGCCTTGTTTGTGAAGAGCGGCTGAGGGTCGCCATCATTGGTGGTGTTGTACAGCAGCGGGCTGGCAAGGCTGTCGTGAACACTCCTCCCCAGGAATCTGTTGTTTAGGGGTGCGCAAGGGGTGAGTAGTAGCGTAAGTCTGGTGCAGACACGTTGGAATGCAGGATTAAGTAAAGGTTACAGCGCTGCGCATGCCACTGCCTGTCCCAGGAAAACTGCTCTACGTACGTAACACCACAGCAACCAACGCTTACGGTATGGTGTCGTCGTCAGCATTCCCAGAATTGGTTTGGTTTCGGAACCAGATGCCGTAAATCTGCAGAATGGTGCTAGCCTCCAGGGGGGTTTTCTTCATGACCTGCATACGTACATGGCAGACAACACAGCACTTAGCTGGTCTTGGATCTTGGTAACAAAAATGAATGGGCAGCGGGTGGCAAGGCACTATGGTGCAAGAGAGCCCAAGCAACCCTAGTTCACTTCCACGGCTATGCCATAGGACCTAGACCCGTAGATGGGGTCACGCGGCTGCACCAGCTCGCTTGCTCACCCTCAGCAGACTATCGCACTCCAGCTTGTCCTTGAAGGCTGACACGTACAGGTCGCCCAGACCGTTGGGCAGGGAGGACTCGGGCACAATGAGCGGCCCGGCGGAGGTAACCTCCTGGAGGGTAACGGAGCCGTGCATGTGGGGGTGGTACCTGGAGGAGGAGGGGAGCGGGTCGGAAGTTGAGGATTTTGGAACGATGCCTCATCGTCATTCGGGCACTACTTAGATGATGGTTGTCAGGCGGCACTGTCAGGCTATGTACCCGGCCTAACGCTGCCCACTCCTTGCTGCTGCCTCTTACCAGGCTACGCCGGGTGCAACCGCGTCCAGCGGGTAGGTGTACCGCAGTGTGGCTGAGGGGCGCTGTGAGAAGCCAAAATGGAGCGGCTTGCCACTGCCGCCGGTGCTGGGCCTGGCAATGGTAACGATGTTGTCGCCGTAGACTTCGCAGAACTGCTCCGAGGTGGTGTTGGCATCGCAGTAGTACTGCGAGGTGGTTGGCGCAGGGCTGGGTACGGCGGTGTTGGAGTAGCTGGGCTCGCATATGTTGCTCACGTTGGCGGCTCCGGGGTCGACCTGGTGCGGAGGCAACGCAAAACAGCATGCAACGAGGGCGAGGCAGGTGGTTAGGCAAGCAGGATGAATACAAGCAGTTACCGATAGCTGGCGGCGTTTTCAGTTGGTTTAGAATTGGGGTTCCAGTGAGACTATTGCATGCTGTGACAGAGTTGATGACCTCTCTGCGTGTAGCCCTGCGTGCAGTACGTCACGGCAGCAGGAGGTAGGGCTGCTGGCGCCGTACATGCGCACCTTGAGACCGTGTGTGTGCAGGTTGGTCCACTCGAAGTCCTTGGGGCCGTTCACGACGCCGGCGGCGGGGCTGTCACTGGGCTCGCAGGTGCTGAACTGCTTGAAGGGCAGCCTGCGCACGCATGCACGCCGAAGGTGTGGTGGATAACGCGGGAGGGCACTTAGAGTAAACCAGCAAGCGAACAGGCTTATTAGGCATCAGGTGGTGCATGTATAGCAGAAACGACATAATTGGTGCATCGCAAAAGAAAAGCAAACGCAGGCTCCCAGCCGCAAAGGGCTGTACTGCCGGCACGGTAGCTGCATGTACGTCCGCACACTTACTGGTTTGTCAGCTTGATGGAGAAGTGGCTGCACATGGCATCCAGGATGAGGGCGGGTGGCTGCAGCTGCGCGCCGTTGACACCAGGCACGCGGTAGCGCGGCGTGGTGAAGGAAACGTACTCCGATGAGTTCAGCAGGATCTGCGAGGAAGCATTGTACGACGTGGTACGATTGGTACGACATATATGCATGGGCATTGGTTCAAGGTCCGTCGTACATATCCTTATACGTACAATGCATGGGTGCATGCTAGCAACTACCCAACTGAGGCTACTGCTTCTGCATGCG